CTCGTTTGAACCCTTCCCTATATATATATATATATATATATATATATATATATATATATATATATATATATATATAACACAAACTCAAAACAGATATATCATTCCGTCGATCATGAAATCAAAGGTTAATAAAAATCACTTTGCTAATAACTTAAAAACTCCAGTTTTTCTATCGAACCAGACATCAAAAACATTAATTTACACGACACATTTGCTAAAATTAAGGTTTAACAAGTAATTTGTTTGCATTCAAACAAAATGTGATATTCAAAGGGCAAGAGAGACGAATCCAGTATGGGCATGGCAACGGGGCGGGATGGGGCGGGTTTTGTAATCCCCGGCCCTGGTTTGTAGTAACGTCCCCCGCCCCCGGTTCCTGGGAGGTACGGGGATTATCATCCCGTTCCCAGTCAAAACTCTAGCAATCTTCAGTCAAAACCCGGTAAAACCCCATAAATAGTATCATTTCCCGATTTGAGTAACATCCCCCGTCCCCGGTTTGAGTCTACCGGGGATCCACGGCCCCGGGACCCGTTTTAGCAGGGAATCCTCGTCCCCGTTCGAGTCGGGTGAACCAGGTTCCCCACCGGGTCAGGGCAAATCACCATCCCTAATCCAGTAGTGTTGGGTTTAACAATTTTAGATATGTAATTCTAATATAAAATTAACCTGCGTATTTTGATTCAACTAAAATGACTGATATTTCAATACAAATAAACAGTCAAATCCAATTTATGGATTTAAAAACGACAGTAATTGAGAGGGGTCATATCCGTTACAAAATTGAAAGTTGAGGAAGAAGAAAGGCATTTAATTGAGGAGTGACGAATGAGACCTTAATCGTTAATTTATGTCTTTTGTTATAAAATTCATTAATTTATATAAACTACAGGGACCAAATTTTGCATTTAACTTAAAAAGGGGAAATGAAGATGAGAATCTCGGGATCGGGTCGAAAGCCCAATTTGATGGCAACATACATGCGGTCGCCTAAATTGAATCTCAACCACCGTTGTTAACGGAGGTCTGAAATTTCTGATTCCATTTTCTGCGAACCCTATCCAAAATCATATAAAATCGCACAACCCAAAACCTCACCAACATTAGTATTATGGCAAGAAGGAAGGCTCGTTTTCGTCGCCTCAACATTAGATTATAATATATATATATATATTAGATTCTCTTTTTGATACGTTGAAATTTCTCCATTCAATCGACCCTAGAAACAATCCCTTATTTGTTTCACGTTTTTTCTTTTTCTAGAAACTTTGATGAAATGTTGAGGATTTGGAGATGGTATCAAAATTGTTTAGCTGTGCATCCCGTGAAAACACAGGTAATCAGCTCTGGTTTGATTTGGGGACTTGGTGATGTTGCTGCCCAGGCTGTTACTCACGCCACCGCTGCCAAAAAGAAAACCCTTTTTCTTTCTGTAAGTTTTCTTCATTTTTTTGTTTTTGCAATTTGAGGGTTTCTTTTGTTGTTGGTGTTTCTTGCCAAGTATTTCCATTGTTCTTGAGAGTATTTGTGATTGGATGGTTTGATTCTATGAATATCCATGACATCTTTGTGACCATATATCTTGCAAGTATTGAATGGATTCTCATTTGATTGAAATGTATAACAATCTAGAGGTGTCTGTGTTTAGGAAACGATCGTTATTTTAATTTTTTGTTGAACCCTAATATGAATTAGAAGGGTGCAGTTTCAGTTGCCCAACCGGGCCTGCTGAATTAATTGGGATGTTCTCGCGTTAACTTAGAGGTTCTGAGTTTTTGGGAAAAGGGGACGGAACCCCTCGGAAAATCTTTATTGAAGAGGTCTTGATTTTGGTTCTCATATTTGGGTATTAAATGTGTGAGTGTGTGGTGGCAAAAATTTCAGCTCCTCAGGCCTGGTTTGTCTTTCAAAAGAGAAAGGGTGTTCTTCCAGTTACCCATCGTTGAAAAAACAACGGATTTTTCTTGGTGATTTTGCATTTAACCCATTAATTCTCATATGTATTTCTTGTTTTGTGGATGATTATTGAGAGGATATACTTGATCCTTGTGTGCATTGATTATGCAAGAAGCTTGAGGGTATTTTTGATTAAAATGGCTTCTTGAAATATTGTGATTTGTGATAGGAGGTTTGTTGATTAGGATGTGATCTTTAGTTACTTGTTATCTCTCATATTGTTGGAAATTGCTATCTACTCGTTCAACATTGAGCTTATATCTTCCTTATTTGGTGATGATTCTTGCGAGTATATCTATTCCTATCTATTTTGGTTATATGGCCTTGTTTTTGGATAATTTATGTTAATTGGCTTCTCAATTAGTTGCAGTTTGTGATAATTTAGAGGTTTGTTTGAGTAGGAAATAACGCTAAAGGGGAAAAGAAATCTATACTTTTTAACAAAAAGGAAAAATGATGTCTAGTTGTGCGTAACTCATGTTTTGGAAAGGTAGTGGCATCTAGTTTGAATCACAGAGGCTCAAATTTGTCTGTTTCATCTTTCATTTGTGAATGGTGATTGTTTAATTCACTTCAAGAGATATCGATAAGGGAATGTAGTAATCCCTTGTGAAACAATGGTATCTGTCCAATTGAAATTATTTCACAAGTGTTTTTGTCCAATCTTTAGTTGTCAATATAAGCACGAACATATAGATATTTATGTTACTATGTATACTACTAAGAAATGATGGTGGCTTATTAAATTTGTACTTGTATTATTTGTTGACAATTTGTGATTGCCTTATACCCTTGTTGCTTGTGTTTTCGATTATGTGCTTGTAAAGTTATCCTTGTTTCAATTATAAAGCTGTAAGTCAAGCGTTTAAGTTAATATGTTTAAATGCTACATAGAATGGTAATATACCCTTATTTGAACAGGAGGAAGAAAGACAGTTACAGATCAACTGGAGACGAGTGATTACTACAAGCCTATTTGGAATGGCATTTGTTGGGCCAATTGGCCACTTCTGGTTAGTGATTCTCTCTAATCTAAATAATAACTTTATGTTAAATGACAGAGATTGCAAGATTATGGCCAAACGGATCATATGAGAATGTTATTTGGGTGTGTATACACATGGAGGGGATTTCCACATACACATGTTGTGGAAATTCTTATATATTGGATTTTTTATTTAATAAGAGGGGATTTCTACACACACACACACACACACACACACATATATATATATATATATATATATACATATAATTGCTGGAAGATATTGTGAGCATTCACTAAGCAAATTTGTATGAACAAGCACCTCATACACATGTTGTAAAACATGCCTTTTCATTTGGTACAACCATCTTATGTAGCTGGATATTTGTGTAGTGATTGCTGACTATTTGCTCCCCTCCCCCCCTCATTCACACACATATATAGTGTTTTTAGGACTACTTATTCTTACTAATATCTAGGGTAGTTTGGTGATTTTGGTCTTTATCGATCTTCTTGTTTCCCAAGTATAGGTTAGGATTCTTGCTTCTTTGCAAATAGCAAATGATGTAATCCCAAATTGTATAATTATTGGATGATATTGAGTAATTGAACTACTAATAGAAGTTTTCTCTTTGCTTGTATGATGCCATTACCTTTAAGCGAGGAAGCTTCTAGTTATATTGGGTGAATTGGATTGAACATGAGGACCGAAGAGGAAGGGAATGATAGGTAAGTGTAGGAGCTTATTGATTGCTCTCTAGAGGTGGTAGGCGGATCATTAAAGGAACACCTGAAATGATGGAGGTTAGACCTCGTCCTAGGTGCCTTCACCTTCTTTAGGAAAAGAAAAATTAGTCCAATAATACCTGCCCATCCCTTTTGAATTCTGACTAGAGTACCTTTACTATTTCAATGGCATCTTTTTCCATCTTCCATGACCTACTTACCTACATGACAAGAGGTACTCAAACTAGAGCTCCCACTTAAAGAACATAACTCTTCACCTTAGATGGTAACATCTCACAATGGAAGATCTTAAGTAGAAGAATTGAGTTGATATTGTGATGTGCAATAAGCGTATAGCTTGAGCAGAAACGTTCTTGAGAGACGTAATCCTAATCAAAGTCAGAATAACAAGCCTCTCCTTGCTTTTATGATGAAAATGAGGATCTAGATTGTGATACCTATTCTTCATCCTTGAAATGTGCTTATACACAATAAAGTTTGAGTTTTCTGGAGTAAGCCTTTGAAGGTGAGTAAAGAAGGCATTGAGGAATTGCTTCAATTCTTGTTTAGGAACCCGGGAACCACCCATAGCACGACATGTGTCCTTCAGGATGAATATTCATCATGAATAACATATTCATGATGAATCACATATTCATAATGCACAACACGTCCATATTCTTGATGAATATGCCATGTGTCGTGCTGTGGACAATTTCCGGGTTCTTTATCAATTTTAGGTTCCTAACAGAACCTGCCCCTATGTGTGTGTATATGTGTGTGTGTGTGTTATTCATCATGAATCACATATTCATAATGCATAACATGTCCATATTCATGATGAATATGCTACATGTTGCACTGTGGACGGTTTCTGGGTTCCCAATCAATTTTAGGTTTCTAATGGAACCTGCCCTCTGTGTGTGTATGTATATATATATATAGTGAGAGGTTCAAATAAGAAGCTAAATCTCGTGAGAAGGTAAGAAGGGAAAGTTAATGAAGGGTTCATAAGCGAATAAAATTGGAAACGTTAATTTGAAGATGCATATGTGAACCTATATGAATACTCTGTAACGTCCAATATGAATCTTCAAATATATACTTTTGGATTTTTTTCAATGATTCACATATGAACCTTCCGTTGATCTTCCCTTCTTGCCTTCTTATTTGAACCTGTCCTATATATATGCAAAAGGTTTCCTGATTATGTAAGAATCCTACAAAATGTAGAAGACTTGACTTATTCCTAAAATAAAACATGATAATAACCTATTATAAAACTTTCCTAATTCATTTATAATTCTACACTCATCCTCAAGCTCAGTTTTATATATTATACAAACCAAGCTTGAAGTTAAGTTCTTCAAAAGTTGACCTTGGAACTTCTTTGTTAAGTATATCTACAATTTGTAATCGTGAAGCAACATGAGCCGGCTCCACAACACCGTATGTCAAACTGGAGTGTGGTATCCTTGCTTCGTTTTTGGATTTTTGCTATATATAAACCGCCAAAGATACAGCATTCCAATTTTAAAAACGTGCGGTTTTATATAAAATTTTTTTGTTCTTGTAGGTATGAAGGTTTAGATCGGTTTTTAAGGTTAAGGCTTCTATACCAACCAAACTCCCTGCGATTTGTTGCTACTAAAGTAGCACTCGACGGGATCATATTCGGACCTGTAGATTTATTTGTTTTCTTCACTTACATGGGTTTAGCATCGGGTAAAAATGTTGATCAAGTTAAGGAAGACGTGAAACGGGATTTTCTTCCGGCGTTGGTCTTAGAAGGCGGCGTGTGGCCGATCGTTCAAGTGGGCAACTTCCGATTCATACCAGTGAGGTACCAACTTCTGTATGTTAATCTTTTCTGCTTATTGGATAGCTGCTTTCTTTCATGGCTTGAGCAGCAACAGGATGCTGCTTGGAAACAATGGTTCAAAAGTTTTCCTTTTAAAGAACATAAAAATCGGGATGGATGATTCGTTCCTGAGTCGACTCACTGATTGTTTATCAAAGCTTTATGACCGAGTCGACTCACTGATTGTGTAAAGCTCTTGCTCCGATTACCCTTTTTTTGTCTGATTGTTCGTTTAGGGAACTAGTTTTATGAGAGGAAATGAAGGAGAGAATTGTGAATCTCCGTATTCATTTTAGTATCTTTGTCATTTTCGTTTCTGGTTTCTGTTTAATATATGATGGATCCATGTACCGTAATGGTGTGTGTGTCCCTGCCGCCAAGTTCCGTTTTATTTTTTGTCAAATGGAAGTGTTGGTTCTTGATTTGTGTCTATGTGTGTGGTTGTGAACGATGACACGGTTCTTGGTCGAGATCGGCAAAACACCAGAAAGGATCGGATTGGAAGGGTTATCTCGTTTCTAGTGCCAAGGATCCAATCTGTTCGTGCGTTTAACCATAATGTGGCCTTGATATGAGCCTTGTTATTTGTTTGTTGTGTCGAATAAATTATCTGAATGATGTAAATGACTATTTTACCCTTTACAGTCTTTTTTTTTTCTTATGTGTGATTCGACAACAAGCGGATGATTACAACTCATTTTTCATCAACTTGGAAACTAACAAACATTTATGCTGAGGGACTTTTTTGATGAGATAACCAAAAAAGCATAAATAATCCACAAATCATGTAGAACTTTTCACAATCACAAGTCAAATACTAATTGAATACACCACCTTTCAGTGACCCCAAACAAATTGTCAAAATGGGCAGTTTTCATTCACATATTTCATCGAACACCTTCCATGCCTCCAACAACAGGTCCCTCTTCAATCGTGATCGCATGCGAAGTTTCCGTTCCTTTCTACCATTAAGTTGTAGACAAACAGCCCCTAAACCGATCTATCTTAGAAACAAACCAAACTGATCAACAAATTGATAATTTCGCCTGCACCAAATCACAAACCAATCACCTTTCTCAAGCCATGAGGCAAAAAGGATGAGGACTATTCGCTCTTTCATATGAGGTCTAGGATCTAACAAGTTGTTTCAACCATTTTCAAATCTTTGATCACCAAATCGACCTTTTCGTATAACCTGGCTCTACGGTAACCAGCAACCAATAACTCATAAGTCGATCTAGGGAGTTTATACGAATTCTTAATAAACTCCAAAAATACGTCTAGCCTATCATATGCACCCTTACGAAAATACGAGCACAGGACCTTTTCGACATCTTTATGGGAACTAAAAGACACCCCTTGTTTCAACATCCTCCCAACAGAGTATTCCACATCATCCAATCTGTCCAATTTAGCATATACCCTAATCAAACCATTGTGAATTTGAGAAATAATGTCCAAATCCTGATTGGGATTGGTCTCTGTTAACACTACTAGCATCCACTCCAACTGTTCCACCAATTCTAATTCACAATAAAACCCCACAAGTTTGTCAGCCATATACCCATTGATCTCCCATCTATAATCCAATATACCCTTCAAAAATCCTCTGATTTTATCCAAATCTTTTTGTTCACAAAACCCCACAAGCATGCCATGTAATATTGATGTGTTAGGCGTGATTTCTGCTCCTAACATTTCTGTATAAAATCTATCAGCATCTTTAAATCTTTTTAACTTTATAGAACCTAAAATGAGGGCCTCATACGTCTCTAAATCAGCCGAATAGCCAGAAGCCATCTTGGCCGAGTACCAGGCTAACATTGACTTACTGTTTCCCAGGTTTGCAAATGCCGAAATGAACAAATTGTAAGTATGAGAAGTAGGTTTATGGTCCTCTGAATTCTGCATTGTTTGAAATATGCTAAGTGCAGTGATCACGTTACCTGAAGATAAGTGAGCAGATATTAGGGCCTCGAGAATGATAGACGTTGGTTTTAAGCCATGATTCTCCATTGAAGTAAAAACATGCATTGCTGTTTGTGCATTTTGGATCTTCCCACAAAGATGTATTAAATCCGAGAAAGTGTCACAGTTTTTCTCGTTTTCTTTGAGCAACTTCTCTAATCTCCATTCCAGGACCTGCCCAAGTACATAATAGTTTTTGGATTAGTATGAATTCATTCGATAGCCTGATTCAACAAAACACTGGCTTTCTAATACATCATCTCGCTTGCAAGAAAATTTGTAGTCCCTCCATTTTAATTTTGAACTTTACCACAAAAAGGTGATAAAACTAAACTTTGCTTATAAATATAACAAACAGAATGACATTGGTGACTGAATTCATGACAATATCCACATCCACTTCTAACTTGCAAGTACTCTTTAAAGTCAAAATCTCTGTCTTTTTCTTTAAAATGAAGAGAGTTTTAGTTCTTGAACCACCAATGTAAACCATCAGTAATAGCATCAAAATGTAAAGGCATCACACAACATTATCTTAAACTGAATGGACGAATATGAGCAACCACGTTTAACTACTCATGGGTTCTATAATTGAAGTCCAAGTTGCAAAAAACACGTTTCAAGATAAAAAAAATTGTTTACAGTATGATATAGGTAAAAATCTGAAGTCACAGGAACAAATAGCAGTGTCAAAGTTGTTCCTTCACAAATATTCCCAGACATGTCTAAAATGGATGAGATTGGCATGGAATTTGAACATACTCTCAACTTCCCACAACTCTTCACGAATGCAAACACTATCCAGAAAAGATAACCCAAAAGAAAATCTTAATCAATCAAGAACTCTACTTCATGATAGGATGGAGGCAAAAAACTTGGCATGCAGAAAGATTTGTGATCCTTGGTGAACTCAAACTTTCACCTGATGAAGATAGGACTCCAAGAAAAGATAGAGATTCCAAAGAGTTCTAGCCATGTAGAAAGTATACCTACTCTTAGGTGTTGTTTACAACCTGTCGACCATCTCTTACAGGGTAAGAGGTGCTTACCCGATAAGAATGAATATTATTTACCAACACACTGTAACCCACAAATATGCTACTCCATAAGGAAGGGGTTGCTTTATGATCAACACTTACCGGACACTTGGTAAACAACCATCCTCAACATCATTTTGTTCACCGCATTATTTCCAGCACAAAGTATCTCTACCTGATAACTCCGTTATGTGACTCCACGTATATGCTTATATACATGATGGCAGGAAGGTGCACTCCGATTGTCATGCACTTTGAATCCTCAATGCACGGAGAATCTTCCATAGTCAATGTTTTGCTCAATTAAGTTATATTCCAGTAAAAATAGGTTCTCATTTCTATAGGAAATCAAAAGCTTATCATTCTCTCCAAGATATCAATTGCAATTACACCATAGCAAGGACAAAAGAATTCAAAGTTTCTTGCCAAAGTCCTGCATTTCACTATCCAAAGCTTAATTTCACTAATGGTAAATAATCTTAGGCATGCTTACTTTCTAATTAATTATAATTAAAGATGAATACTACTCCCACTGCTACTACAAATAACTTAATGCTGTTTATTTTGACCCAATAATTCCTACAGATTGTCATTATTTTATGAACATTCAGAATCCAGAATTTATTTTCTTATAATTTCAAACGAATAGCACATCACTGAAGCTCCGCAATCCTAACAACATAAACTTAATACTATATGAAGATTAGGGTTAGGGAAAGAAATTCTTACGAGCTGAGCTTTGTGAGGGGAAGAAGAATGAATCGAAGTGAGGAGCGAATCCCATGAAAACTGGAGGTTTCCGATGCCAGATGTTTTCACCATTTCTGAATCAAGTGCTGTTTTGATTCCAGAAATTGGCTCCCGAATCAATATGTGTGCTAAATGATTCGAAGAGTTGGATGTAATTGTTCGTGAAGAGTGATACCAGATCGTCTGGTACAGCCTTTTGGCCCATGATAAACCCCTTACTTGCCCCAACCCCATTTTTGGAAGGGTTCTTTCAGCTGTTCTTTGGTTGATCTTAAGGACGTATCCACGGTGTTCGCGGTCCGGTCTGCGACAAACCAAACCGGTCGGAAATTTTCCAAAAAAACCACCTTGGTAACACCGGTTACCGAACCACAATTACAGGATAATTCTTAAGTTTAATTACAAGTTAAATCTCAATAAAATACTGGAACATGTATATATCATCAAAAGATAAGTTTTGTACCAATATTTACATCCAAAAATACCGAAAAGTGTTCATCGGGAAAACATCAACCCGGAAAAGTGACAATTATACAAGTACTACCCAAAAGTATAAATTACCATGTACCAAAAGATGACGATCCTTGCTTCCAACACGAACAATTAACGGTCAAACAATTTTCTCTTTACCCTTATCTTCTTTTCCTGAAATGTTCACATACAAGGCAAGTCAAGGAGTACAATGGTCAATTCTCATCAAAGGCAGCGCACTGCTCGCAAACGTAGCAGTCGCATAATTAACTTTATCCTCCTCCGAGACTTTGGAGATCCAAAACCCTTTTTTTGTGTTTAGCTACAATTGGATCTGAAACCCCACACCTTCACTTGGGTACTGATTCACTTTTCGAGGAGTATTCCTCTTTAACTCCTTGTGGTGAATAATTGATGAAGCGGGTTATCGATTTTGTGCGACAAGCTCTTAGTGAGCGACGAAAGGAGGAAATCATGAGAGGGAAGCGGGTTGATACGGGTGCCACTTCTCAACCTAATTCCACCCAAACTTCGTTTAAATCATTCAAATCTAGTGGAGCAACTGAAATTTAATGGGGTTTTAGATCCAATTGTAGCTATCGAGTGGCTACTGAACACGGAAAAAGTGTTCCGGATCTCCAAAGTCTCTGAGGAGGATAAAGTTAATTATGCGACTGTTATGTTTGTGAGCAGTGCATTGGTATGGTGGGACGCAACCTACCAGTCTATGATGAGACCGAACGAAATACTTTGACTTGGGAAGGCTTCAAAACCATTTTTCACGAACAATATTGTCCTGCTGACTTGCAGAAGTGGTTGGAGAAAGAGTTCACTGACATTAAACAAGAAGATTTGACTGTGGTGCAATATGAGACCCAGTTCAACTGAAGGCACATTTTGCCTTACGTTTTGTTACTTCTAAACAAGACAACAATGAGAATTGACCCTTGTACTTATTGACTTGCCTTGTATGTGAACTTATATGAGATACGATGCACATGATATCCATTTAAATTCACTAATCCTTGTTAGTTTATCCTTTTAGTGGTAAACATTTCAGGAAAAGAAGATAAGGGTAAAGAGAAAGTTGTTTGACCCTTGATTGTTCGTGTTGGAAGCAAGGATCGTCATCTTCTGGTACATGGTAGTTTATACTTTTGGATAGTACTTGTATAATTGTCACTTTTTCGGGTTGATGTTTTACCGATGAACACTTTTCGGTATTTTTGGATGTAAATGTTGGTACAAAACTTATCTTTTGATGGTATATACATGTATCCCATATTTTGCTGAGATTTAACTTGTAATTGAACTTAAGAATTATCCGGTAATTGTGATTCGGTAACATATGTGTTACAATTAATACATGTGTATTTTGACTGTCAATTCGGTTTAGACCGTTCAAAAAAATGTTCAAACCGCATACCAGACCAGATTAAGCTGTTTAACTATGTTTCATACAGGATCGGGGCGCCAGGCCGCTCAAACTGCCAAAAACGTTATGGTTTGACCGGTCCAACAACTTTTTTAAACACCCCTGGATGTATCTATATATCTTAGTAAACTACAATTTTGGTCGTTGTGGTTTACACCCAACTACGACAAGGTCCTTAAACTTCATTAAGTATAGTAATAGCCATTGTGGTTTTTAATTTGTTTTTAAAACGCCCCCTCTCATTAATTTTATTAAAAAAAAGTCTATTAGACGAGGGGTATTTTTGTCTTTTTACTATTTTCTTAAATTTTTTGTTAAGATTTTAAAAATATATATTATTTATAAATTATATTATATATAGGAACCAGTTCAAATAAGAAGTCTAAATATCGTAAGAAGGAAATACCAAGAAAGATTCATATATGAATCATTAAAAAAAACCTGAAAAAATTTGTTTGAAAATACATATACTATTCTTCAAGGCCTCATGAGTTCATAAGATTTACGGTTCGTAAAAGCAACCTTAAATTTCCAATAAATTGCATTTGAATCTTCGATTTTTCATTTTCGGTATAAACACTGTAGCCGTCATGGCGCGTCGTGACTCAAGACTTGTGTCTTACGCGATATTGTGTCTGAGACATGTCATGGCATAACGTACGGTTTTTATAACATGATGTTTGATTTTACGTATATTTTTAATGTCTTATTTGTTGGTTTTTAATATGGAACTTAATTTAAATTGTTTATTATCATTGATTTATTAAGTGATAGTACAAAACATATATTCATTTATATAATATTATATACGATATAAAAATTTGTCGTCGTAAGTCACGCCTTGACCTCGTCATGGGTTCCGAGACTTGAGACTTGGACTCGCCACCACGTTTCGCGTTATTTAATAAATTACCAATTTACCCTTTTATTGAGAGTGGTTCTTTTATTTTATTTTTCTAAAATGATTTGATCAGGGTACGCAATGACATAAGAAACTTGGTTACCGATTTTGCAGAAACAACGAAAACTCCAAAACAATATTCGCTAGGTTAAGGTTCGAACAACCATCGAAGACAATGGCCGGAGGCGCAGGCTTATTCAAGTTCATCAAGCCAAACAACCGTCCTCAACCCGTCGATATCCAATCCGCCGTAGGTTGGGGCGTCGTTGCTCTCACCGGTGCTGTTTGGGTCGTCCAGGTCCGTCAATTTTTTCACCCTATTTGGATTTTCATTTGCTTGATTTATTGATCGTTTGATTAATTCGATTTATCTACTTGATTTGTAATTTCTTGAATTTCTTTTTTAATCGAGATGGAATTCTCTTTTTTGTAAAGCTACCATCTCATCGATTTATCTCGGTTATGCTTGGTGCAATTGTTTGTGTTAATCGTAATTAAGAGTTGGGAGTTGTATGCATCGCGGTAGATCTGGATCTTGGCTTTTGTGTCAAACTATATTTGACTCTCGCCGGGATGACTATTGGTGTAGATTGAGGTTTTTTGAATAAGACATTACCTTATTTCCTTTGAAAATTAAGGTCGTAATTAGATATTAGATATACAAATTGATATCTGAAAGTTCTTCTGCTTTGAAAAGGGTTTGTATAAGTTATGGACTGGTAAATTCGTTTCATCAGTTTGTGGTTGGAATTTCAGTCGTTTTCAGTTACCTGTTGTCCTGTATTTTAGTAGCATTTAGAAGGAGATGCTGTTGACCACTTTTTTAGTTGTGCTGGTGATTCATTTTGATGAGTTATGTGTTTTCAACTATACTATGTTAATTCATATCTGAGGGTTCAGACTTTGCAACAATATAGTTGTTTTTAAGGACCATACACTTTACCAATTGCGTTGGTCATCTATGTTCTTATTTGATTGCGTATAAGTCTAGCATCTGGTTTATTAGATTTGATGGGTTTTGATTCGGATGCAAAACTAGTCTCTTTGGGGTGTTTAGATTGGCTTGGGAAATGCATAATTGCAAAAGGGAGACTTGTATCAAATATGTTTTTGCTTGTTTCAGAGAATTAAGCATTTTTAGATTTTGTTCAAAATAATTTGACTTTCATTTGGCAGCACAAATTACCTTGGTAGGCATCTAAAGGCTATCCAGTCTTATCACTGTCTGCGTCATGCTTTCTATTGAGTTGATTGGCCTGACTCACAAATGTTGTGAGTGACCTGTAAGTGATGTTGTTTGTCACTTGGATATTAGAGGACAATATGCATCGGATCCATTAGATCAGTTATTAGTACAAGACGATGATTTCGACACAAATTGATAGAAAAAAAATTGATTACTATAAAAAAAGAATTTCAATTCAATTACCATATGTGATTCACCCACAGGCTACAACATATGGGTGTTGTGCAAAGATGAGAACAACTTAGAGTTAAATGAAACTTCTGAATAATCCAAATTTGCCAGTCTGAAGCTGTAAAGCAGTTCTTTCGTGCTACTTATTGCATTTTTTGAGATGGCTCTTTAATTAGATCTTAAACCACAACCTAATAGCCCTCTCCTTCATCATATGCTTCTCACTTCAGCTTATTTGTTGGTGTTTTCCTTGGAGTAGATTTCATATGTAGGTGTTTGGTTATTACTTTGAGTTTTGTGTTTAAAGATTTCCAGGGATCTCCGTAACTACCACTTGTGGAGATGAAGGCTTCAAGGATCAAATGTGAACTATAAATGATACTTTCTTTCTCTTTAAACTTTAGGTTGGGGAGAAAAGTCTTTGCAAGGTCTTTCCTTGCATGTTTCAAAGAGGTTACTTTCATGATTCATACATGTGACCTTCTGATCATCAATGAATAACCTTACAAGACGCTACGAAGTTTTCCCCTAACTTTTTTCATGCAAAAGCTACTAATGCTTGAACTAAGAATGTGGCAACAAACTACAAGGGTGGTGCCTGATTGGTTTGAGTTTGGCTCCAAAGGTCAAAAGTACCAGGAGGTCCCAGGTTCAAATCCAAGGAGGAATAATAATCCCCATGTGGCCACATAGGTTCAAATGCGGTGACTCCGGGTTATCTGCAAAGCAGGTGGTCGCCCTGGGATTAGTTGGCTCGCATAGCGGGTTGGATATCCAGGTTAATAAAAAAAAAAAGAATGTGGCAACATAAAACCCAAAACATGTGGTGAATGTGAATTGACAATCCACGTGTGCACTCTAATCTAGCCTATCAAATCATATGACGACCATAAGAGTTAGAAGCCAGGTGAATCTTGGGGATGAAAGAGTTTGCTACTTGAAAAGAGTAAAACCCCCAAATATATACTTCCTGTCTCAAAATAAGTATCCACAATTGAAATGACACAGTTTTGGACATGCATAATTATTACACCTTTTGATCAACCAAATGACAAATTTACCCATATTTAATTTCTCTCACTTCACAGTTCTTAAATATTTGTGCATTACTGGACACTTACTTTAGGACAAACATAAATAGAAACGTAGACACTTATTTTGGGACGGAGGGAGTAGCATCTGGTTTAGCTGCCCTAGAAATGGTAATCAGAAGCTAGTCATTAATGTTGTCTATAGCTACCACTATCAATAGTAGAATCTTAAGCTCAAACAACATGTAGTTGTATGTTTACCTGTGAATGCCTGGGGTTTCAGCCTATTAAGGAATGGGACAATAACAGGTTCTTTACCCTCAATAAGCGTAGTTGACTATAGATTTTCATGAATTACTTGCCATCACCCAGAAATCACAAAGCTTTACCATTCTTTTTACCTTTTTTTAAGGGTGGGGTGGTACTAGTGCTGTGTTCTGTGCTCCATTTATGTTAAGATTGTTGACACTTGACTTGAGACAAATGGATAAATTTCCATCTCCATAATGTGATTTAGGTTTTCTTTTGTTCTTGCTAGTTCTTAGTATCCTTGCTTTCCTGAAGTATACAACGGTTTTATATTATATTTCTGAGGTTGATATCAAGTCCTATTCAGTATGTCCTTCATTTCATTAAAATTGTTACACTTTTCATCTGGAGTTTTCGCATGAAACTTGCAACATCTCTTACTTTGGGAACTCTTCATGTTAAATGACTTGTTTGCCCATTACGGGCAGATATAAATTAATGGGTATTACTTTCGGTTAACAAGATTTAACCTTTACTTTTATTGAATGATGAACAAATCTCTATATCCACTCTCTTGTCAAACAAACACACATTTTAACTTTTGAGTATCGACGGTATTTGTGGTTGGGTGATCTAATAAGTGTGTTGGATTTATGGATGCAGCCTTTTGATTGGGTGAAGAAGACCTTTTTTGAGAAACCAGAGCCAGAAAATTGAATTGAATAGAGAGAGGTATTGGCATCCATCCATCCATCTCTAATGGCTGAAAACTCTTCATTTGTTTCCTTTTGCTTTCTGCTGATGAGAAAACTGTAGGCAGGTTTTGTTTTGATTAAATAATGTAAAACTCCAACATTCGGTAGTTTAAAGAAGAAGATATACAATGGTTTTTGTGGTGGCCATCTTCCTTGTGTCGATTTGCCCCAAAGGTGTGATGATCCATTTGTTTGTCTTAACCAGCAGGATTGTGCACGGAACTAGAAATTCAAAAAATTAGAACGAGAGCCGAACTAGAATGTGCAAACCGGTCTGTACCCGTCCTGGTCCCTGCCTCCTGAAACCTTAACCGGTTACAGCCTAAATGGTTGTGGTTATAACCGGTTGCCAGCTGAAATTATTGAACTTGCCGTAACTGGTGTTGATTTGTTTGTTTTTTTACTATTTCTTTAATCTTTATTATATATTTAAATAAGGCATAAATTGGTTTTACAAGTCTTTGGATAACTGGACCGTTTACGTATATGACCAAATCGTTCCTTTCATAATCGGTTATGGAGATGGAGATGTTGGTTCGATTAAGCGCATGGTTATAAAATTATGGATTTAAGAATATTACAAGGAATAAAAAGATTATTATGAATCGTTTACTTGATATAGTTTCAAATTTGTGAGTTTGAATCACAAAAATACATCAATAGAGAAACAACCCAGGTTAATATTTATATATGGCAAATGTAACAAATAAACGTACACGCTCTTTTTATTTTTGATGAGGTTTGAACCCCTGACCTCCTAGGAGGCTAAGGATTACGATACCGCTAGACCAAAGCCCCTTTGGTAGGTTAGCATTTTTCTCATTCCTCAACTTCTACAAAAAGTTATATGGATTGCTATGTATGTGATTTGGGATCGTCGAAATAAAGTGGTGTTTTCTAATGCCGACTCTTTCTCAATGCAACTTGACCTTCGATATTAAGTTATTGTCGTTTTAGTGGATAGCTAACCGTTCAACATGTTTTCACATAATCTCGGAGGTTGGTTTTGCTCGTTTTGGTTTTGTTTCTGCTCGAGTTCTGGGTGGCTCTCTTTCTGCTCTAGTTTGTTTGTTTTGTGAGTTTTTTCGCTCACTTTGGTCCGGTTTTCTGCTCAAGTTTTGGATGGTCTAGTTCCGACTCAGTTTGTCCAATTTGTGGGTCTCAAGTGGGTCAGTTGGAGCATAGTCTTCTGGCTTTTCATCTTGTTGGGGTTTGCAGCTCTTGGTTTTGTTGGATTGTAGTTGTTTTTGCCTTCTTTGTGGGCTTCTTTCTTTTCCTTTCGTGTTTCTGTTTTGTTTGGTCTTATCCTGTTTTTGGGTTCTACATCTTGCAAATGTTTGTTTTGGAGGCTTCTAAACAAATGTGGCTTTTAAGAAAAAATAATAACTTTTCTGGTGAAGGTTGGTTTTATGAGAGACAAGATTGTTTTTATGACATAATTTTTACATTTGAAACTTTACAATAAAATGTTGTGAAGGTAAAAAAAGTCGAATTTTCATAGAAAAATCATTGTGAAGGATGCCTTCATAGTGTTTTGCTGGGAAGTTTCAAGTGTAAAAATCGTGTCTCAATAGTTGTCTCACATGATCACAAGTCTATCTGGTGAATTATCCATAAGAATTTTTTTTAATGTAAAATAACAAACATACTTTAAATTATGTCTATTTTATTATAAAAAAACGTGTTCATTTTTGTCAAGACAAAGTCGTTATGTCTTCACAATCAGTCTTTACAACTGGTTTTACTATCAAATTATAATATTAGTGTACACGTAAAATATAAACAAATATTATAAATTGACAAAACTACTTATAATGATGAATGTACGACGTCTAAAATAAATAAAAATTAAAGCATGTTGCTCTTTTAACGTAAATTAAAAAACAGTGTCACCTAAAACGAGAATTAATGTAAATTTAACTCTGATGAAACTATCGTCTTTGTTTATTCGCTTATCGGCCAATATTAAGGCCATGAATGTCATCGAATTAGATGCAAGCAAATAATTGGTGAGTGTTTAAAATAATTATGTGATACTGAATAATTAAAAATCAGATAATAAAACATGTATAAGGCGTACTTTTAGAGTAGTAACATATATTTTTTTATTGTGTAATTGATAAATTCTGATTATTTGAAAATGTTACCTGTAAAAAAAATATATGCAAGTAATTTTCATATCTTTTAATAACCAGTGTTAATGTGAGTAACATTAAACTGATTATTTGATCTTTAAACAGCCCAAATCAAACAAACTCTTCATAATTCATACAGATATAGGATTTAGAGATAGAATATACGTAAACTTTGTCTCTATCTCTAAAGATAGAGGGTTTTGTGAAGTGTCACACTTTTGCAAAATGAAAACAAAGATATAGAGAGGCATAAAATACTATGCAATTAATATAATGATACAGAAAATATACGTATTTATCAAACCACTTTTAAAACTTATATCCAATAACTATAATTTGATCTTTTCAACGTCCATGAATAATAAATCGTAAATCGAATGCCCAAATTGGAAAAAATCGTGTACTATCAAGGTAGAAATGATAGGATTTGACCCCGTAACATTTTGCACCCAAAACAGTCGCACTACCAAACTGTACTTACATTGGTCTACAATGTCATTGTAGAGAATTCATGTTTGTTTTCCATATGTTTGTTGGCATTTTGGCCTTCCATTTTTCATGGCCACACATCTTTTTAGCTACACTTGTGAAAATTCATATTATATATTTGAAAGAGATTGACATTCTTGCTTCAACAGATCACTTAGTTGTATTCATCGTCGATGCAAAAAAGACGTTCGATTAATGAGCTATTGTATACACCCTCTTTCGCATTCGTGTCTTTTATCGAATTAATTTTAAACCATTTTCAAAAATAGCCTCGTCAATTCCTTTGAGTTTCATTCTAGCGAACGTACTTCCCAAGCGGGATACTTAATGTACTCGGGAACAGATTTATTGTCGTATAGCTGACCGACGATTACTAGTGATTCGCGCAACATGCTATTCGACTGAGGATGAGTTTTTGGAGTTTATAATTACTTACAAACCACTTTCAAAACTTATATCAAATGCCCCTTGATTCAATGGTTTTTCTTCAACCTCAAAATAAAATATGAATTTGTGGTTAAAGAGATATTTGTAGGGTAGATTCTTGATAGATAAATTGAACAATTCAAGAAGCTATCAACAATGGCATTCCTTACTCATTTTCCTGTTGCTCCAATCCATCATCACTCCTCTTCGCTCTTCACCAGATTCTTCCTTTCTCCAAAACCCAAAACCCTCTTAGTTCTTTCTGCACTTTCTTCACCCGAATCTGTTGCAACATCTCACTTCTCTTCGACATCCACCATAATACCCTCTTCTTCTCCCGAAATCCTTCAAGAAATCTCACTTCCAGAAGAAACCCCCTTACGAATTGCCCAAGAAAAGCTTTTTATTCCTCCAGAGACTGAAATATCTTCCGAAAAACCTCCCAGAATCTTGAGAGGTTCTAACATAGTGCTGAGCAAATATGCTAGAGATGCTCAGGTGATTTCGGCTGACTTTGTTAAGAGTAGTGTTGAAACAGAGGCTTGCCCATCTGATGGGTCGCCGGAGTTTGCTCTTGTTGGGCGTTCGAATGTTGGGAAATCGTCGCTGCTTAATTCTATTGTTAGGAGGAAAAAGCTCGCCCTTACTTCAAAGAAGCCAGGTATGCACGCCATGTGTTTGATTTATTGTCTCCGAGAGTCCTAGCAAGATAAAGCAAATTACAAAATTCTATGAATGGGGGATTAGTTGTTGTCTTGTTTCTATGGGTGTACTTTCTTTAGCTTGTTTCCTTTTTCCTCCGGTCGGGCCAACTTCATTTGTTGAGTTTGATTCATTGCCCTTGAGTACCCTTGAAATCATGGTAGAAGTTCATCTTGCTCCTGCTTCATGGCAATTTACACTTCAATAAACTCTTAGAAGAAGAAGTGAATTTGGTATGATATCCTATTTGCTCAACTAAAACGCAAGGATCACTAGACTTGTGTTGGTGCATTTATCGAGTTTTTATCTGTTTCTTTTATGCTCAGTTATCCCCTCACCTTCTTTCCTTCATGTTTTTTGTAGATAGTTATTATATTCACATAAATATTAGGCTCCAGGCTCTGGCTCATAAGCTGTTTTCAAGGTATTTGGGAGACAACGTTAGCTATTAAGTAGAATCTGGCTTTGAACCTTATATATCTTTCTCATATAAGTGAGTGTATGCGCGAACTAAATCTAGCTTTGAACCTTATATATCTTTCTCATATAAGTGAGTGTATGCACGAACTAAATCTAGCATTACTATGTATGGACTTATGATGAGAGTTACATTTGATCAAGATGAATTATCTACATATCTGGATTGATTATACTGCCACTCATCATTGACCGCTAAATTGATTTGACATGAAGAGCCTATTTTTAAATGTGAAGAAAGGGAGGATCACAAAGAATCTATCTTTCTCTTAGTTGTTGTATCATCTGATGAGGAGATTTCTATGGGTTTTTCTCGGGGTAAAGGAAGAGGTTTATATGGGTTAAACTCCTGGTTTCTGGTTTAGGAGAGGCTTCCATGGTCTTTTGATTGAGAACAATATGTTTTTATGTTTTTCATAGTTGGTTTGGTGGTGGAGAGGTTTGCCACAATTCATAGCTCTTATGACCATTTTGTTCTCTCCAGACATTTGTTGGTGATTTTAGTGTCACCGGTTACATTTAGTGTAATGGATTTTATACGTGTGTTTCAAAGGGATTGAACTTTGTTCTAAAACAAGTATGGAGAGTGTGGAGTGCACGCTTGTATTAGTCTAAGTCGGTCCCGGTAATATTTAGGGGGCAACGCCCCCTGAACGCAAAACGGGGGTCCCGAAATTATATAAGTATAGGGTTTATAGTGGAAAATTCTTGATTTTTCTGTGGTATGATTGTGAATCCTATAACTTGGTAACTCCCGTTTTCAGTTTTGAATTTTAATTTCGGATGATCGTTTTTTGGGAGACACACGAACTTTGAAGACACTCTATATTTTCTCTAGTTTCTGATCTTGATTTCTGCCAAAAATCAAGATTGTTGCTTTTACAATTATCCCAATTCGGATTTCGTGATRCYAGGCATATACGGTCGAAATATCGAATTTGGAAAGTGATTCACACGATTGTAGAAGAAATCCGGTTGAAGTTTTAACAACATTGACATCATGGATAGATCATTTTTAATATTTTTGTCTTGATAAGTTTTTTTTATTATTGTTGATGATGGAAAGGGTGTTACAGTGCAAAATCTAAGTATGCGCTAAGTGGGTGCACACCATGTGAGTTGAAGTTGGCTCGACGATTGATATGGGAACTAGAAGGTTCCTCATCTAGTGCCACGGAGATTTATTATGATAACGAGAGGCTTTTATGCACATCTCCAACAGTAAGATTTTCTTGAGCATCCCAGACGAGTATTTTCTTTAGTCCCTTCATTTTGCAGCAAATGGCAAAAAAAAAAAAAAAAAATCCTTCATTACCAAGAAAGTCACCAAGGTAAGATCATTAGGATCTTCCCCAAGTGAGGAGTTTAATGACCTTGTTAGAGGAGAGTAAAGAGTAAAACCAATTATGAATACTAGGGAGGCCCTCGTTTCCTCCTAACCACCTACATAACATTTCAAGTGCAACATCAATACTTGATCTATGTTTTTGACCTCTTCAACCTGTTCCGAGTTCTAAATTACATTTTTATTTGAAAAACAAGTTCTCTTTAATGAATTGGGGGACTGCTAGAAGTGTTTGCTGAATAGTTTGATGAGTTTAACATGAGAGTGAATATGTTCTTTTTGACTTGAAATTAAGAAGAGTTGAATCTAAGACCTTGTGGTTAATATTCAATTCAAGTGAGACCTGATACTGCACTTGTTCATAGAGAAGCTACAAACGCTTTGGTCTTGGAAGAATTGGAACACACCTGATTAAGAAGAATACATATCACCATGAACTTCTATAACTGGCTTTGTGTTATAATTTAGAGATGTTATAACAATACAACTAAATGTTTCTGTTAACCATTTTCTTGTTACTTTACAAGAAGAAATCCATATATATATATATATATATATATAGTGTATATATATATAATATGTTTTCATGCTTTGCTTTGTTTGTAGGGAAAACACAATGCATCAACCACTTTCGAATTAACGACAGTTGGTACTTGGTGGATTTGCCTGGATACGGGTACGATTAAGATTTATGGTTAATTACTCTTAATTTATCAATAATGGTAAGTTGGTAGTTCTTTCCATAATGTGATAAATTGTTGATTAAACCATCAAAGAGATAGTATGATCAGTATTTTTAAAGGCCTTCTGTTTCTTTAATGCTACTTGACTAAGATTTGAAACTGAAATTGATTATGCTGTGGACAGATATGCCTCCGCACCACATGAACTTCGAAGAGATTGGAACAAGTTCACCAAAGACTATTTTCTGAACCGGTCAACACTGGTCTCAGTCTTCCTTCTCATTGATGCTAGCATTCCTGCCAAAAAGATTGACCTCGAATATGCAAGTTGGCTGGGTCAGAATAAGGTACTTTACATCTTTAAAACGTCTATCGCTGATCTTTTTCCTAATCCTTATTTCAATTTCTTTGAGAACGATGATGGACGTGATTGTATTCTGATGAATCCCCTTAGGTCCCGTTTGGTTCGCGGGACTTGATAGGATTTGGAGGGATTTGGAATTGAATTCAGTTCCAATCCTATATTTGGTTTGAAGGAATGCTTGGATTTGAAATCCCTCAAACATGGGTTTAGAATTCCTGTGGGATAGTTGGTATTTCACAAGATTCCATAGAATTTATTTGTAATAATGTTCTAAAATATGTTAAAAACACTTGTTCTACAATAATCAATTAATTAAAGGTAATTTAATTATTTTTGTAATTTTTTTACAGAGTATGGAATTCAATTCCATTCCAAATCCGACAAACCAAACACACAAAAGATTCCAAATCCTTCCACGAAATCCAAATCCCTCAAAAACATTATGTCAAACGGGCCCTTAGTTATTGATGTTTTATCATGAACGGTTGCCTATTGCCAATGATGCTTGTTTTTCTTTAGTCATGGTGTTATTAGGAGGAAAACTGATGAGACATTTAGTGGTTTCTTTTTTTATTTGTCTGTTTCTAAGGTCCCAATGACGATAATATTTACAAAATGTGACAAGCGGAAAAAGAAAAAGAATGGTGGAAAGCATCCCGAAGAAAACGTGCAAGACTTTCAGGAGTTGATCAGTGAATACTTCGAAGGAGTACCACCTTGGATCATGACAAGCAGCATTACCAATCAAGGTCGAGATGAGATACTGTTGCATATGTCTCAGCTTCGTAACTATTGGCTCAAGCATTAACTTATCATGGATCTCTTGTTTGGTATGTTCTGCTTTTCATGTCTATTATTTTATATAGCTCTGTGACCTTTCTACTGTACACTAGTTTTTCTTCTTGTATTAGTAGGTGTTCATGTTTTCTTGTTTGTTTTAACATATTTTCCTCATATATCCCTTAACTCGATGATGCTGTGGATTAATATTAGGTTCAATCTGGAAGTGCGACCGTTGCTGGAGGACAAGTAAAGCGTATTTTATGCCGCTGAAACTAAGAAAGGCAAACCGAAAGGGGAATGTAGATCGATTGAAGTTGCTTTGAACCTGTAATTTTTCCAAACTGTGATAGCAAGAGTTGTGGGCTATCTGCTTGGTTCAGGTAACCAAGATAAGTTTGCATGCCATTTCCAGAACTGGATTTTGTTATTTATTTTTGGTAATAGATAACCAAGGCGCTGGTTGTTTTCGACTTAATGAGCTTAATGGAATGTATAAGTAGTAGCAAGTTCAAGTAGATATTGAATTTGGTAAGACATATATAGATGTTTGTTTGTGGCTTAATGATCAAGTCTATCTATGGCTTGTTCATTCAGCCAGATGGGTCAGTTTATTCGCCCAGTCGTCCATGTTACCCTTCTCTCTCAAACAACTTTTCTCAAACTAGACGCTCTCTCCATCGACTGTATCTTAGCTGCCCGCCCTACCTCCTCCATGCCGTCGCCCCCTGCTTCCTCCTCTCTCCTTCAAGCTGTTGATGGTATCTCCCTGCTTTTCTTGCCCTTTGCTTGCAGACCGCCTCTTGATGTTCTTCTTCAATTCACTGGGTAGTAGGGTTGATGGTTTAAGTTTTCTTTTCAAGTTGAGGTCTTCAAACCTGGTGTAGGTAGGATGTGAAATGGGATCAAATTACTCCCAGGGAAATCTTAGATTGTGGAGTGTCAAATTTTTGGATAAGATTGATGGAGGCAAAGGGTGCACTGTTTTAGATGGACCAAGTTTAACTCTTCATCAAATTGTATTTTATTCAATGTTTATATAACTTGATTTTATGAGTGAATGTACACAAGGTGTTCGATAAAATGATGCAAAGAATGCATGTTGTGTGTTGGGTTTGGTGAAAAAAAATTAAAAATAAAAATAATAATCAATAGTAAAATGGTCATTGATTAATCCGGACGATTCAGCACAACAAATCACACTTAATATTTTGATATAAAGTAAAATAAAACGTGAAATTTGGAACAAATAGTAAATAGCAAGCCAACTCATATTTCTCCAAATCCCTTTTAAGACTTATGATTACATGAGATCAACCTGTTTTTATGAGACCATTTTTTTACACTTAAAACTTTACAACAAAACGCAATAAAGAAAACCTTCACAATATTTTCGCTGTGAAGGTTCGGCTTTTTTTTTACCTTAAAGGCGTTTTACTGTGAAGTTTCAAATGTCAAAAAATGATCCCACACGGGTCACACAAAAACAGATTGGTCTTACGTGAATCCAACCCTCCTTTCTAAACAAGAACATGCAATCATCTACCATCCATTTGAATGTAATCAAGAAAATGAAGTTCCATCATTGCATTTGGATCATTCAGCTCAATTAGATTTTGTTCCAAAAAGAAGTCATGGGAATAACTATGTCTGCCAAGGGGATGTTCATATGAAAAAACAACGTTTGGCACGAAAAGTAGCAAAACTAAAATAGAAAGTATCGGTTTCCATCCATATCAAAATTAAACCATTCCACTTGTCATAAGCAAACAAACATAAATCCGAATCTCAACTAAAATACATCAAAATGTTCCTTCAAACCTATGCGCTGGCAACGGCTCCTTTGCTCCTTGGGGTTGCTTGAGTACCTGTTAACAAAAGTTGTCACAAAATCAATTCAAAGAGAATTGAAGCAAAAAAACAAATTCAAATCATTATAAGGATGAATAGGAACAAGTATTACCTTCTCTAAAGTTGCTCTTGAACCTGCGAGGAACGTTACGGAGGTACCTCATCCTACCAGTTCCTGTAGTCTTCCTTCTGATTGCCTTCACACTCCAATTGTCTGAACCCAAAAAACATATGGTTAAAGACCCTATTTAAAGATTAAAATCCAATTTATTTTTATCACTTGCATGTCCAATCTATATGGAGTTTAAGATTGTATCAAAACCATTAATGGTCTTAACTTGATGCAACAGAGAATTGGAGGGATAAGAACATTATAATTTCTAATGGTGCTAGATTTTAATGTTTAACAGTTTCTTCATCTTATTGAAGATAACATAAGCTATAGACCAGAAAATCTATAGATCACTCGACACATATTTTACAAGAATATCATGCATTTTCATCTTCGGGTTTTCCAAAACCAAGATTAGGCTCGTATTTCCCCATTCAATTCAGTGAAAATGTAGAAACCTATCACCATGCATGGATCTAACCTGGGTTTTCTTAGCTCCTCATACCCGACATCTCTTGCTCAGACAATCAGTTCGTATATGTTACCAAAAAAAAACTCTCTCTTCACAAAAAATTAACCGAGTACCACCATCCAACATAACCTTTGACCTTTGTCATATTAAGACAGATGTCAGTGATCACTTATCATACCCGCTATTGCACACAACACACCTCATGTTGTGAAGGTGATAGGACAACAATGAGTATATTAGGCTAGAAAGCAATTTTTCTTATTGTAGACCAGGTAGAAAGACCTGTCAAATTTAAAATAATAAAAGCTTGATGATCAATGATTTCTTGTTTGTTGATAATTAGCAAGTGAGAATCATAAAACATTAAAGATTAAGGATGTTATAGAAATCTGATGTTGCACTCGAAAGGAGTAATTCCTAAATCACATAGTATCTTCAAACCACAAAGAATAAATACTGGTGGTAATGATTTATCTTGTATCATCTTGTTACATGATATGATAAATCAATTCTACTTGCCGAATATTAACATGGTGGTGCTCTCTTTCACCTCCTGTACAAGTATGTGACTGAAAAGAGTGCCACTTTTGTCACCCCCATGTAAGCAAGACGATATGATATAACTACAATATTTTCACTTATCTTAAACCTCAATGATGGAAAAATCACTACTTGCCTATTTATATGGGTATAATTTTGCAGATCAAACTATCAATGGAACTCCAAGTTTTCTGGCACAAAGGCTAATCAATACCGACTTCCAACCAAAAACGAAGACAAGGTCAAATCAATACTAGCAATGTCATGACTTCTCTAATTAATGAGGCACAAAATACAACGATGAAATTCTATAGACTTTGCCAATTTCGGTTATCATCAAAGCATATTAGCATCAATCAACACGAATGCAATAGTAAGAGAAAGAACCGAGTTTGAGGCTCAGGCAACAGTCGTAATGCTTCAATGTAGCCGCAACTCAAAGACCATATGAAGTCAATTAAATAACCACGAATATCTAAAACCATAGTTGTGACTGGCACTCTACCAAATCCATCAATTCGTGTAATGGTTGCTTTACCCTATTAGCTTAGTTCCTCAATACACACAAAATTTCATCAAATCTTCAACAAATTCAACGATTCATCTTATGATGGATCACAAACGATAGACATAAGCCACACCTATTTACACGTTTCTTAAAAACCAAACAAACTATGACTCTAGATTGATCAAACACTTACATTTCCTGACGCGAGCAGCAGGATAGGCGCAGGCAGAGCAGCGGCTCTTCTGCAGGTGAAAGCTGCGGCGGCCACACCTCACACACAGTGTGTGTGTCTTGTTCCTCCTCTTTCCGAAGCTCCCGGTTCCCTTACCCTTTAATCAGTAATTCCAAAACAAAAACCACAGTCATCAATACTGTAAATCGATCAATTTCATAAACATATCGTCAAGAAATAGTTAACAAAACGAGTGTTGTACCATGTCTCGAAAGTAAAGAGAAACGAAACCCTAGAAGATCTCCCAAATAAGAAAAGGCCAGCATCCGTAAACGCTTAGGGTTCTTATACGGTGCAATTAGGGTTTCTTTTGAATAGCCCAATAAAACTTGGGCTGTCATATGTGCATTCCTGTTAGACTAGCCCATTAAAGAAGGGTATCAGGGCCATATAGGCCTATTGGGCTTATTGAAATATTACCACTTTTTAAACATGAATAAGCATACATAATAGTTATGGCCAAACCGGCCCGGCCCGGCCCGCCCTGGAACCGCCGGAGGACCGGAACCGGGACCGGTTATGGGACAGGCCTGGCCCATAAGGTTATTCTTATTCGGTTAACTTAATCGGTTAAGTTCAAAACCGAAACTTGAATTTTGTTGCTTATTCTTTTCTAGTTTGAATGGGTTATTTGGTTATGTAGTGTTTCCTGCATCGCTGCTTGTGGTGGTGGTTGTGGTTGCAGTAAAAGACAACCTATGCAAAACCTCATCAAGACCATATTCGTCAGGCTAACATCGTATCTTGAGTATAAACGAGGTCAGAGAAAACAAGTGTTTGGAGGGGGATGCTGATCAAATGAGGCAAAGAATTAGATTAAAAATGAAATTCCGAACCACAACTGAAACGGATTAGAGGCTAGTTAAGGTTGTCTCGGTTCGTTGTAGTTGCGATAATCAAAGCTTCCACTTGTCCGAGAAGCCACTCAATTGTATGACGACAAGATGGTGGATGTGACATTACAACACCGTCAGGTTGAAGAATGAGCAGATGAATTACATAAGAGAGGGAGATAGATAAAAATGAAAGATAAAGCGTTTGCAAGATTGGGGTTTGTTTTGTTTCCTTATTTCTCAATCGAAAAATTCCGCCCTCGAGTGTAGGGTCCATGAGGACATTTAACGGGAGGGGGATAAATGGAGTTAAGGGAAAGGATTAAAAGTAAAACAACGCTTGTATTTCAGGGTTTTTTTTATAATAAATGAATCGTAGGGATGAAATTCGAACCAGGCCTTATACAAACTGGATGTCTATTTATTTAATTTTATAATGTAATATAATTGCAATGAAGTGTCAAAGGAGAATTGTTATGATAAACCATGTACTCAACATAAAATTATTGCTAAAGATGTATGAAGTTACGGGATTTTTGTCTCAAATAATTATATCAAAACTGTTAACTATTCAGAATAAATTACTTAAAAATACGACGTGTTTTGACATGGTTTTTTATTTTGTGTAACTTACTTTTAAAACTTTTATTTTTATGTCTTAGATGTGACATCTCAAATATTCAGAGTACCTAGTTTACATATGAGAATTCATAAAAATGCAATGTACCTAGGTTTGATTCATAATTTGTATTATTATGCATCAGGGACAGACCCAATATATAGTGGTTATGATGGCACGTGCCACCATTTTATTCCTTCGTTATAGTGTAACAAAATTTAGGTTCGTGAAATGTGCAACTGTATCAATTTGTTGTGTGTCATCTTATATATTTTGAAACTACGATAAAGATACAAGTTTTTCTTGGTAAAGTTGGTTTGTAAGGCTTTTCTTTCATGTTAGACCCGAATTTGAATCATGTTATATCATTTTTTAGTATTTAGCTTTTGATTTTAGATTTATTATATTTTTTTAAAAAGCTGCAACGAAAGATACACATGAACTCACATATGAAAAACAATAAACCAACCCACAGATCATTTATAATGTTGTGAAAATATCTCTATAAATATTTCTTATAGTTAAATGATGTCACCGTTTGAAAACAAATTATGAATCCATTCCTGTTATGTATTTTAGTTTCAATATTTAAGATATCATGAGATATTAAAATGAAGGTTTTTGAAAATACTATACACAAAATGGGAGTTGAATTAAAATATGTTTGAACTTTTATGCAAATTTTCATTTTTTTTTTATAATAAAATTATTTTATTAAATATAACCTTAAAACTATTATAATAAAATGTTTAAATTTTGTGCAGGAGCTTCAATATCTAATTTTTAATATATATATATATATATATATATATATATATATATACATGTAATATTAAATTATTAATCAGCTCGTATAACAGGGTGAATATCCAGGTTAATAAAAAAAAACCGCATTCCTTTCAAGATTGAAGGGAGTTATAACGTTTTCAATTTAGTATGATTATGCAAAGTGTTCTTTCCATATGAGTCGAATAAACTACTTTACGTACTATTCAATCTGCGCGCCATGCCAAAGTTTTAGGTCGTACCTCTGGACTTTTTGATGAATAGATTTATTATATTATATAAAAATCAGACAGTTTTCTATTTTCATTTAATATTTTTCGAATGAATGAAAAAAAGAAAAGAATTAAAAGTTTTAAAGTAGTGAATAGAAACAAGATATGAACTCTCTAACAACCACATTATATATAAGTATTTGTTATCTATATTTGGAGGCAAAAAGTCTTTTATGTTCATGCTTCCTTTCATTTTCATCTTCCAATCACTCTCACTTGCCTTTCTTCTATCCCTCACGTTTGAACAATAATAATATTTAGAGTTCATACATATATCATCGTTTGTGTGTCGATCTGTATCGTTTATTTAAAGGATTCAGATAAAAATCGCACGTCAAGACGTTTTTATCAACTCGTTGATTGATCGTGGACGTGGAACGGTGGTTTATAAAAAAAATTGGTGTATTTCTAGAAGGTTCTAAATTGTTGGCTTAAGGTTAGGTTCGTATAAAACAAAGAGTACAAAGTGTATTCATCTGGAAGTAAAGTTTAGGTGTATGCAAATATTTCGAGACTTGGAAAACCTTCTTTAAAAGTGAGTCAAAATGAGTGGAAAACTTGTATATGAGCTGAATGAAGACTCGAGCTTTACAAAGCTATACGATTTTCAAGAATCGAAGGCATACGACCCAAGCAAAGGCAAGAGCATTGACCGAACTTATCATGTATTTAAAGGTTGTGGAATAACATGGTTTAATGTGGACAACGGTATCTATTATTACTTATCCAATTCAGCCATTACTTACCGATTAAGCCAAAAACAAGCGGTAATGGATGAGCAAATAAGTTAATAAGCTCTTTAGTTGATTAAGCAAAAAACAAACAAACAAACAAACATAGTCCTTAGCTTATGCATAACTCAAAAAAGAAGAGCTTAGCCATAGTTCGATCTCGTTATCCTAAAAGTTGTTATACTTTTTTTTATTAACCTGGATATCCAACCCGTTATGTGAGTCGACTAATCCTACGACGACCACCTGTTTTGCAGATAGCACGGAGTCATCGTATTTGAACTTCCGTGGCCACAAGGGGATTAATCAGCCTACGTGATTTAAATATTTTGAATTCAAATCTTATACTTTATTAGTAAAGATGTACAATGTTCGGTCGTAATTGGTTATTGGTGAAGTCCTTAGGCTCATAGCGTTGGTCCGAATGGTGCGAAATTTGTGGTCCTTCGAAGGATCACTTCGGTCCTTGTTTAGCATCTAGGATCGATTTTGAGTTGACAATCCTAGTTGGTTCTGAACTAGTGTATTTGTTATTTTTCATTAAAAAAGCTTATGGGTAAAGCATCATTCATGTTGCTTACGAGAAAGCATTTCAAACGTTCGAATTTGTCGTTTTGTTTTTTGACCAAGTCTTGATGAGTTCAGTGTTTCAATCATTATCCTGTAGTTCAGTTCCTTTTTGCGACCGCTCCTAATTTGGTCCTCTAGAATGATCGATCTTCTTGGTAAGAAAGTATTTAGATTCATGCTTGAAGAACTGAAACATGCTCAAAGCTCTACATATCTAAGTGTTAATTACTAATATATTATCAACAAAAAAGTTTCCGTCTTTTTCTCCTAAAAATCAATCTCGACAAATACTTTGAAAGACGATCAATGTACTAATATGACCAAAATGCCCCTTAACTTAACGGAGTTGTTTAACAGAGTTAGTCAAAGAAAGAATAAAACAGCGAACTGTAAACCACATTAAAGAAAAAAGCAGTTTTTAAAGACCAAGGACCAAACAGTAATAAACAACAAACCACAGGTATCTACTTGAAAACTCAATCTGGTTTTTTATTTTTTTATTTTTTAATATCTCCTGCTCTATAAATGCAGCAGCCTTCTTCTTCCTCATAAATACACATTCATTGTTTTCACCTTCCAAGTTTCCATTAATGGAGTTCCTCCACTTCCTCACCTTTCTTTCTGTAAGTGTGTGTGTGTATATATATATATATATATATCTTAATGCATTAAGTACTTGATCTTAATTTGATGTTTGATTAATGGTTTTCAGATGGCAGTGATTGTGAGTCATGCAGCTGTGGCTCCTGAAACATACTGGAAATCTGTGTTGCCAAATACCCCCATGCCCAAATCACTCACTCAACTTCTCAATAATGGTAATTGCTTGATGCATCATACTCAATATTTTGTACTAGTTTTCTTAACTCTCTCTTATTCATTTTACTGTTATTATCTTTCCGAATGAACGGAAAGATAAGAGCATGGATATCTATGTAGGTGTTGGCAAAGGCGGTGTATCTGTTCATGCCCCTGGCACAAGCGTGGGTGTTGGTGGCGGTGGTGGTGTATCTGTTCATGCCCCTAGCACCAACGTTGGTGTTGGCAAAGGTGGTGGTGGTGTATCTGTCCATGCCCCTGGCACCAGCGTTGGTGTTGGCAAAGGTGGTGTATCTGTCCATGCCCCTAGCACCAACGTTGGTGTTGGCAAAGGTGGTGGTGCATCTGTTCATGCGCCTGGAACCAATGTTGGTGTCGTTGGCAAAGGCGGTGAATCCGTCCACGTTCACGCTCCACATCCAAAACCGAAAGGGGAGTGTACGAAGGTGAGCGTTGGCAAAGGAGGTGTGGTCGTTCGTTGTCACGACAAGAAAAAGCCCGTACACGTAGAGGTGTCTCCGTTTTCCTACAAGTATGCTGCTACAGACAATCAACTGAAAGACGATCCAAACGTTGCGCTTTTCTTCCTCGAAAACGACATGCACCATGGCCACGGGATGAACTTACACTTCACCAAAACCATCGGCCCGTCATCAACTTTCTTGCCACGAAAAGTTGCTGACACGATACCCTTTTCGTCAAAGACGCTTCCAGAAATATACGCTCGTTTCGACGTCAAACCTGACACGACAGAATCCGAATCAATGAAGAAAACGATCAGCGAATGTGAGGATAAGGGAGTGGAAGGTGAGGAGAAGTATTGTGCAACTTCATTAGAGGCCATGGTCGACTTCAGTACGTCTAAGTTGGGTAACAAGGTTAAGGCGATCTCGACAGAGGTACACGCTAGAAAGACGACTCCATTGCAGAAGTACACGATCGAAGGAGCGAAGAAATTGGCCGCCAAAAGAGCCGTGGTTTGCCACAAACAAAACTACCCGTATGCGGTTTTCTATTGTCACAAAACCACGACCACCGAAGTGTATGCAGTGTCTTTGGTGGGTGAAGACGGTACAAAAGCTAAAGCAGTTGCAGTATGTCATACCGACACTGCAAAATGGAACCCTAAACATTTGGCATTTAGGGTTCTGAAAGTAAAACCGGGGAGTACCCCAGTTTGCCATTTCCTACCTGAAGATCATGTCGTTTGGATACCTTATTAATGATATATGTCCTCGTGGTTTTAGCCTAGCAGATAAAAAGGTGAAAGTCTTGCAGAAAATATATCTGGTATTTTATGAACTAGAGAGAGAATAAAGCCCATTTGTTGTTATTTGGTGTTTTGAGGGCTTGTAGTTTACATTAGAGATACGATTGATGTACACTATTATGAGATTGTTTATAGTCGTAGTGTCGTACCTTTGTATTTGGTTTTATGGATGTTTACAATATTCTATAATAACCTTATTCATATATATGAATATATGATCATTCATGTAATTATTCCTCTCGAACTCTTTATTCAACGTTCATCGATAATCTTTGCAAGATTAATTTCCGTCACAAAACAGTTTTTTCTACTATGAACATATATTTCCCTCTCAAGTTCATCACGAAATATTCGTATTTCACTGCAAATCACTTCAAGAGGATTAGCTTGTTTTATACGTGTTTAATGTTTTAATAACTTACTAACTTGTAAAGTTTTGTTTTGTATGTTTTTAATATTTTAATTCTTACGATACCTTGTAAAATTGTAACACATAAAGTGTGTAACTAAACAATGAGATGGACGTGATTGATGTGAAAGTTGATAGAAGTTGTAGGCGTGCAGAGAGTAATTATAAAAGCTGATATGACACAACTGAAAGTCAAATTGCAGATGTATAGATATTATAAAGATTCATATGAAATGAAATAACTGAAAACTATTACAAGAAGAAAATTGATATAAAGAAACTGAAATAACCAAAAACTATGAAAGTTACGATTGTTCAAATTCTTAGCTCTCATGCTTCTTTCCCGCCAAAGTTTTCCAAAACCGAACAATGGCGATGTCCACCTCCACCGGAAACATAGAAGCCGAGTTGGTATCGAACAAAATTGTCATTCTTCTCCGCAAGATGTTTGCCCTCTTTTTCTATATATATACATAAAAGCTCGTTGATAAAAAAATCTTGTAACGAACCTAGACATGTCAGCGATCTGCTAGCACGAGCAATGTTCCCAAGAAAACGAAATGCAACAATCAATCGTCACCATGTTTCCGAAATTCAAACCACCGATTTTAAAACACATCCAGCTCAGAATTTCTGCAATTATGGAAGAGGTTGATCCACAAATTACAGTTCCTTCATGCCCAATCTTACTTTGAGAATCACTATAAAAGACTTCCTGAAAGCACTGTAAGTCATGGCTTCATATTTCACAAAATCAGGAACTCAAAATCTATAGTTGACTTCCTTCTTTAGGGGGGAGGGCAAACTTCCAAATAGAACTTACTTAGGGGCCGTTTACCTAAATGCTTATCCGGTAAGCGCTTACCATTAGAAGTCTAACACTGTAATTTATTTTACCGGATAAGATTGTAGTTCATCAAAATGGTATTGTATGCAACAATTTACCCGGTAAGCGCTTACCCGGGTAAGAGTCGTTACCCTCACTCACCGAGTAAGACTCTTCATCTTTATCATTGCTTTTATCGGTTAAGATTTTTGACCATTGTCATATTCATCCAGTAAGGAAAATTACCCAGTAAGCACTTATCGGGTAAGCGTTTAGTAAACGGCCCCTTAGAATTGCAATGTTTGACTAAGCATATAGTTTTAGGAAAGCATCTTTCGACTATGAAATGTCTGAAATATTTTTCAATAATGACGGTAATAAGAATTTTTTATAAACTCAAAATCAATGTCATCAGTTTTTTCTTTATGGTGACTATGGCTAATAAACTAAACAAAGCCAATACATGTCACTCAAAGTAAGGCATGGGGGTGGGATACAGAAAATCATGTCCTCTACACCAGATGGTAAAGCAGTCTTTTCCGTGATAGCGACTATGGCTATTAAATACTCCATCCGTCCCAAAAATATATGTCCATAATGAAAAAGGCACATAGTTTAGAAATACGCAACTATTACACTTTTTAATTAACTAAATAACAATTTTACCCTTAATAATCCATCTCATAATTAAGGGCAGAATTAGAAAGTAGGTACCTACTTTTGAAAGTGAACACTTATTTTGGGACAGGGAGTAACTGAAACATGAAAACTTTCATAAAATGGAAATGTCATAACGTTCATTGAAGATGGAATATAATATAGGAAATTTGGTGTGAATGTCAATACTTACAAGAAAGGCTCATAGTGATCGCCCTCTGGATTTTGTGATCGTTAACAAAAGTTGTTAGCAACTCAATGTTGATTTCTTATATTTAACCAGGCAGTAGTGGTTCTAAAGATCCCCATGTTCTTCCACACTTCAGTTTGACGATCAATGGAACTGAAAGAAATTAATGTCAACAAAATGGATCAGAAGAGTATACTTGTTCTAGTGTAAAAACAAGTTTCAAATGCCCGTTAAAAGTTGGACTCCTGAAGCTCAGTTGGGCTTTCTCAAGCGGTCATACCGAATACAAATCTCACACTTGAATCATTAATGTTGTGTTGATAAAAGTTTCACCCCCTCAGATGTGGTTTTACGGGTCCATATTTGAAAAAAAAAACTAAATTCCAGAAACCAACACATTTACAATAAAAACAGGAAAAACAGTAATATAGTGCATCAGAGGACAGACCAAGAAGGGAGGCAGCGCTTTCCATGCTCAATTTTAGCAGCAATCCAGCTTCATTCACAAATGAAGGTTCAGCTTCAAGTATTAATTCATCATGTACCTGAGGAGATAACTAAATGTCACAACACATCCCTTCAAATATCTTCAAAAATATTTCATTCACAACTTATCCTCCATTAAAGGCAGTAAATACAATTTAAAAATTGGGCGGTGATATAGCGCCTTTCTCATCTAACTGGAAGCACTTGAAATGACAAATAAAGTCTCATTATGAGATGGTACTCAAAATCCAGTTAAATGCACATCATGGCTGATAATAAGCTGAACGTTTTAATGTTGTAAGGAAAATCACACGTATTTCATGTTCAAATAGAATTTGATCATCGTCTTCTGATTGACAACCTGTAAACACTTAGATTTGTTCAGCATCATAAAGGTGAATCCACAACTTTACATTAGTTTTGTAGTTCTGAGTTATCTTTTAATGAAATAAAAAAGCTCCAGCAAAATATTGCCTGACAGGGGAAGTGTAATTAACCATACATTCTGTATCATATGTATCTTAATGTCATATATGTATCAAGCTTCTATATAAAATTTACCCATGAGCTTAGAATATGAAACACTAGATAATATGAAATCCTGTTCAACATAAGCTAGGTAGCACACAAACATCTGACAGATTGCATGATGCAAGATCTCTGCAGAACTTAGATTCAGAAAAGACTGATATATGCACATATGTCTGTGTTTGCACATATATATATATATATATGACGGGTGGATTCAAATGAAAAAGGTAAAAACTTAAGGACTGGTTCATATGTGAATCATTGAAAAAATCCATTTGAAAATGTAAAGTGGGTTCACATATGCATCTTCAATGGATCTTTTTAGTGACTCACATATGAGCCACTGCTTCTAACCTTCTCAACCTTTTTGCCTTTCTCAATTAAACCTCCCTGTATTGTGTATATATATAAACAAAATATATGATGAAGACCAATATGATAGAAATCTTAAGAGTCCCACCTGTAGAAGGATTCTACAGCGACCCTTAAGCATGTGGAATCTTTCTGCAAATTGGATGCTAGACTCAGACTTCTCAACACCATCAGCGATGACAGAGTGTATAGTTATCATTGCAACTTTGATTATGTCAGCTGCAGATCCCTACAAGAACATCAACAGTTCAATTCAGGACAACATTCATGTCTACCAAGAAAAGATAAAAAGACTCTTAAGATATTGAAATAAGAAGAGAAACTACTTTAGTATTGTACCTGACAAATGGAATTCACAGCTTGTCTCTGAGCTTTTGATTTTTCTTCATTGTTCCCAAAATTAATTTTTGCCAAAAACCGCTTCCGCCCCATCAAGGTTTCCACATAACTACATAATAAAATAGATGTTAATAATGCTTCAAAAGTAGAAACTAAAGCAATAATACATGGATTGAGCTTATGCTGTTTGAACTCTTGCTTTAGTTTCTGAAATAACTGTATTATATATATTAGTGATCATATAAACATCGATTAGAGTGGATCAAATCATCCCTTTTTGCAAGTTCGAAGAATTCTATCTACAAGACGTGGGCAGTACATTATCTCACCCTTTTTTACGGCAAACTGTAACTGCTTCTTTAAGCCATGAAGCAAGGCCAGGAAAAGACCTTTTGAAGCTCTGGATTTTGTCTCCAGCATCATCGGGACTGCATTCCAGTTGTTCAGCAAGGGAATTTGCACCCATACCGTATAGAATACCATAGACCAGTCTTTTGGTTTGATCTCGCTCTTTAGGGTCCACTGAGGACTCTGATTTCCCTGTCCACTTTGCAGTAATCAAATTAAAAACATCACCAAGAGGTTTAGTGAGGAGATCAACTAGTGACGAGTCTTTAGAGAAATGGGCCATCAGCCTCAATTCTATCTGAGAATAATCTGCAGTTACCAGTAACCAGTTTTCCTGCATGAAAATATTTATATTATAACTTAGTGACATTTGAAAAACTGGAAACAGTATAAAAAGAGAAGATAATTCCGACCTGAGTAGGAACGAAGAAATCCCGAGGATTTACTTTGCAGTGATCCGTGTCTGAATCACCATCCTCATTTTCATCATGATTTATCTCGAATTCAACCATATGCTCGACACACTATATGAAATATTTCAGGATCCGGTTGTTGAAGAGTAAGAACGAAATAATGCAAGGAAAAGATATGGCCAAACCTGAAGATTGGGGTCCTCCATGGATAACCGTCCTGTTGCTGTTGAAGTTTGGAGCCAATGTCCATGCAGTGTATATCTTTGAGTCCTCATGGATAACTTAGAAAGTGAACATATTGAGCCCAATGTACAATTCAAGAGCTTGGCCAACGTCCGATGCTCTTTAATAACAGAAATGATGGGATGCTCAAGCCTGAAATAAACACACTCATCTTAACTACCATGATTCAATCAAGTAAATGCATTTAGCTCATTAAAGATTTCTAACTTTTCTTTCTTCTGTTAATTATAAGTTAATGTGCTACAAACAAACTACCTTAACAAATCTAAACAATGCTTGTCAGTACTAGGGTGCTGTTTCCCTTTGTAACCATCCGGAATTGGTAGCTTTAACCGTGTATATAGTACATCTGCAATATCTGCTGCTGTATATAAAGAAAATCTCGTACCGGCCAACTTATAAGCTTCCTTCTCCAGATATCTCAGTTTTTTACCCAACAGATGACGTGATTGAATGCATCCCTCCATATCAACACCAATTCCATAAAGTTCCATATCTGCAAGAACATTTACCTAAAAAACAAGCAAAAGTTTACGGAAAACATTTCTCAATATGCACAACAGGAAGCAGACATGCCCATATCAAATTTAAAATAAAGGTCCAATGAATCCTCACCAGTGGCATCTCGATAGTTACTAGAGGTTCATGAAGTTTCTCAGATGCTAGCAACTTCCAGAGAACACATGACAAGGCTCGTGTTTGAGCAACTCGGCGGCAGCAACCATTATGTGCCGCTCTTCTCATCTGATTTTTCCAGCGACCATTCTGGTTTGCAGCTGCTGCCACCTCACTAGATAACCTCTTTTTGACTTCCTGTATACGTATGACAATTAAGATGCATAATTGAAAATAATTGAGTGTTTCAAGCTCAATTAAATTACTGCACAAACTCTAAGCCTATAGAGTTACCTTTTCCAAATTCGGATTAGAACTTCTCTCCTCATCAGGCCACAGAATCCAAGCTACAACACACAAGTCAATAGCATCTTTCAGATGAACTGGAGAAAACATGTAGTAACTGCTTTCAATGAGCTCCACACCGATAGTTTTCACTGGACGAAACATGCTACCAAACCTCTGAATAGGAACAGCGGGATTCTTTAACACCTGATTCTGAATCTTCAAATTCCATCCAAATTTTCGGACTTGGCTTTTCCCCATTATCATACCAACTCTACACCATCTCTGCTTTGCCATCTCAAGCTGATCCTCCGGAGCCCGAAGACTATTACCAATTAGGTTTTTGTTTCTTTCACTGAATAAGTCCTTGGGAACACTGATATAGTAAACAGGAGAATCTACCCAGCAGATTGCAATGCCATGTACTTCAAAAGGAGCAATTGAGTTGAATTCAGACCGTTTGGTGAAGTGAATATCGAAAAAGAATTCTTGTGTGGCTTCCCACATATCCAAGAAAGAATCAAATCCACCAGGAGCATTAACTGCGTTCATTGGACCCTTTTCAGGGTTTCTTTCCTTGCTACCGACACATACATCTTTCCTCTCATGCTCTTTCTGGGGAAGATGTTGATCGGAAGTCTTTTCCTTCATATCGTTGATGTGATCAGAGGTAGATTTTCGTTCATAAGCAATGGCTCGGGACCCATTAACTGTGGCCACCAGGTTGACAGCACCCGAGTAACTTAAAGTTGTATCATCGGAGTTTTCTTCTGCCGAGGTCCCTACACCAACATCACATGGTTTTTCTTCCGTTGCTCCTTCACTTTTTGATTTTTTATTATTTTGGTAATCACTTCCTTCTATTAGAGACTTCGTTGAAATTTGTATTCCTTGGTCCACGCAAACAAAGCAGCTGGTGGTCTCTTCTCGTGAAGACGTTACTGCTTCTTTCTTCGTGAAATTCACAGAAGCTAATGGTAATTTGGGTAGAGAAAACTGAGGAACATCAACCCCAAGAGCCTTGAAAGCTGAGAAAGCAGCAGCCCTTGCTTCTTCAGCTTTATCCAGGACAACTTTGCGGGCACCATTCATTATCTTTTTGGCCACTCCCAACTGAATACGCTTTTGTGCCGAGTTCTCTGATTTAAACAGGAGAACTTTTGTTAATTAACGAACTACAATGCACTAATTCTGGCAGATAAAAAAAGAACAAGAGGGTACACAGGTGTAATGCATCCAACATACTATTTTCAACAATCAACACAAGAATAACTATCAAGCATGAGTTTATTAGATGATCTTTTTTGAAGTATATAATATTTATATACAGAAAATACTTGTGCACATTCCTTACCTTTGGTGAGGTTTGAAACCTTGACCTCCTGGGAGGCAGAGGCTGGGCTCTACTGGGAACCTGGCTATTGCTGGGCTAATGAACCTTTTGTTTGTTGGATGATATTTTATTAGGGAAGCATCTATACTGCTATACACAAACTACTTGGTGTCAGCCGCTCTACTAATGGGGTAGAAATCGGGTATGCGTACATCTCCAAGTGACTAGTAGGATTTTGACTTTACTGTCAAACCTACCCATAAAAAACTAACTCCATTTGATTAAGCAGTGATTCAACGCCATGACACATAGTGAACCAGAAGATTATTACAAAGGCAGTTGCAGGCGGAGAGACGGGGCAGAGGGAATGAAGGCGGGGTGGGGAGTCACTTGAAGTTCATAATATTTAGTTTCTTTCTAAATTGATCAACTTTCATAGCCGGTTGTAAGCAAATTTTTTTGCTCAAAATGATGTACCTAATTGATTTCAAGAACTCCCAAGGATTTATTTGTTCAAAAACATGGTCCAAGGACTTGATCACTCAAAATTGGCAAGTCCATTGGGTTTTTTCAGACCTTTCCCTTTTTTTCACACAAACTACTTGGTGAAATAAGTTCATATGATAACTTAGTAAAGTACAACCTTTACCTTGTGCATCCCACGATGAAGATTCAAAAATGGCTTTAGCAATTTCATATACAGATGCTTCAGCAATTGCTTGGGGAGTGCGCAAGCCAGCTTTATAAAGGGCCCTAGCTCGAGAACCCTACAAAGATGCAATTATGGACAAAATATGTAAAATTCAGTAAGTCCTCAGAGCGTAGCAACATGCCATTATCTAAATCAGACCTCAAAAGCTAATAAAGCATCAAACAACCATGAACGTAGAAAAGTTTTACAAAGCAATAACATGACTTGAGTTGAGAGGCCACCAAACCTTGATATATGGAATGGTGGTAAGCTCAACAATCTCTGCTCTAACACCAAATGAAACACGATTTTGAAACTTGGCAACCAAGCTCTCAAGATCATGCCAACCAAGTCTTTCACAAAACACTGAAACCATAGAAGCAAACCTTCCGGCATTTTCTTGCAAAGATTGAACCATTCCACGAGCCACCTTGAAAGCTTCACAAACCTCTGCCACAGGTACTTCCTTCATCCAGAAATAGCATGACAGCATGCAAAACAAGATTAAAAACGAATTCTGTGAATGTGACAACACTAGGGGCATTCTCGACTAAGATACAAATGCTATCACTTGTTTATTACTGACAACAGATTAGGAAATTAAGCATCCAAAGATATGTGTTATCGACTGAGGAAGGGTGAAACAGACAGCAACATCGTCTTAAGAACATAACTACCAACCTGTACAAGTCTTGATAAGATGAGTGCAACATAGAATCTCTTACAGACACGAAGCATTTGATCATCTGTAAGGATGCCATTAGTTGACACCCCAAGTCCTTTTATCACATGTCTTGATCGTTCTGAAGTGCGAATTGGAGCTCCATGAGCCATACGCATCAAAAACGGTTCTTGCACTCCAACACGATTTCCAACAGACTGCAATTCATGAACGCATAGAGAACAAGAGCCCATGATATGTAAAGGGTAAAATTCTTAAAAGAGTTCAACTGTAATGCCTCAAATTGATAAATCCCATAAATGAAAACCACAAACACATAAATTCCATGAAATTTGAAGCATCGAATGTGCCTTCTGTGTAACATACATCACAAGCTATTACCTTCAAGTATTATGAACAATCAACTTCAATGGTTTAATGTTCTTAGGTCTTCTTGTAACTTTATTCTTGAGCCCAAATAAGAGAGATTGGCAAACAAGAAACAGTTGTTAAAGAAAATATATTGCCTCAGTACACAAATAATTAACAAATGGGTAAAGAGTACATGTGTTGAGCTACCAAAGAAGTAATAACCCCTTGAGAAGCTAGAGCAAGGCCTAATTGAAAATGAATCAAATTATTAGTTGTGTCATAAAGGCCCTTATGCCCACATCCAATCGCCCTCCCGGAGGGATATGTGCATCTAAAAGATCTTCAGCATGTGGCTGTGTTAATCTAAGGTTTTTATAACATATAGTCATATACTGAAAGAGCTGCTTGCTACTCTAGAAGTCAACCCATAGTTGACATTTAAAAATTTAAATTTCTATCTGTGGCACAAATTTCCAAGTTAAAGCTTCAGGGAGCATTCTAAAATCCCTTATTCCTTTTTGATAATGACGATGGTCAATGGTATCTGTGATTAGATGATTACCTTGGTTCACACCTCAACTGCATCCTGCTAGGACAATTTGAATTTTGAAACCCGAAAGACATTTGACGGGAATAACAAGGACTTTTGACACTTGGAAAAATCAGATAAGCATGCTTTTAACATGCTGAATCAATGCATTTTTTAATCAACGCATACATTAAAAAATAGTCTCAGCCAGGCCAAACTCCAAACTGTTTGTGAGTTGTATGAAACGATGACAAAAGAATAATCAATATAAACAAAATAACCGCCACAGATGTTGGCTGACACATTGCATTTTTTTCTGTATATTGGAAGTCAGCTTACCTGATCAAGAGCGGACAGTTGCATGAATCTTTCATAGTACAATTCCCAATCTGGCTCAACATCAACATTAGTTGGTGTTACTAAGTATACTAAGTGCAAGTCCGATGCAAGCACAAATCCTTCTCTCGCCCGTGAAAGGTCATCCAACACAATCTGGAAGCAAATAAAAATAAACGCTATTCAGAAACTTATTTATTTTCTTTATTTATCAAAGAGAAAATCCAAAAAACTATATAAAACATAAGTTAAGTGAAAAGGTTAGGAATAGATAGGAGAAATAAATTATCAAAACACTTACAAGTGACTCCTCAGGACAGAGAGAGCTGCCAAAAGAAGCACGTCCAAGAGATGTGGTACTATATAACTTAGTATCTTCGGTCCACTCAAGAAACTTCCTATGGCACAGCCACTTCAGGGAATCTTTTGCTGATTTAACTACATCTTCAAATGGTTGTGTTGAATTGAGAAGAGTGCACCTAACATATCGATGAATATCACTAGCAGTTTGAACAATACCACCAGCAACAACTTCTAAGATTGCATGGGTCATTCCATTCTTATCTTCGGACAAACAGGAATGCAATGGTGGGCAGCTATCACCAACGAGCGCCACAATTCTTTTCACTTCTTCAGGCTTGCATATTAGCACCTAAGTTCACAAAGAGAATGAAGATGAGTAATATGCTTCTAGGTAACTTTCTTCAAGCAGCATGCTGTAGATAAATCCAAGTAAAATGTCAAAAGCCCAAAACTAATACGATATGAACTTTGGGAGAAAAGATCCCAGCCTACATAAAATTAAACAACAAAAATTGCATACACTCTCTCCTCTTGTGTCAATTCCTGTGCGACCAGCACGCCCAGACATCTGTCTATATCTTGTCCCATCTATAAAATCACGACCAATCCGAGGCTGTCGGAAGATAACTCTCCTTGCAGGTAGATTGACCCCAGCAGCTAAGGTGGATGTAGCAGTTAAGACACGTACTAGACCTTTACGATAGCAGTTTTCAACAATTTCTCTTTCTTCAACCTAAGTAACAAAGAGAAAGATCTCAAAAGCTTCAAACTCTAACACGTAGGAAAATATGGAATTCACAATCGCTGAACAAAAATTAAGGAGCATTAGTGTGTGTTTATGGGGTGATAATATACATACCGTAAGACCAGCATGATGATAGGCAACACCTGAAGAAAGTGTTTCGGCTAATATAGGATCTAATCCTGCAGGAGACTTTTGCAATGCATCAACGGCAGAAGCAATATCAGGATATTCACTTTCACCATTAAGGGTATTTACAGAGAACTTTGTGAGGTACTTTGCAACATGCCTGGCAGTTGATTCACATCCTTTACGACTGGAGCAAAAAATCAACACTGAATGGCCCTCTTGGACAACCTAATACAATATGAAGTGTTATTCAGTAAACGCCAAAGATAAACGTTCAGCTTCATAAAAAATAAAGATTCCAGATTTCGCACCTCATTGCATAATTCTACAACATGGTCAGGATCTTTACCACCAAGATCAGCTCTTTTTGAGATCGTCCTAACAAGTTCCATATTTTTGTCATAAATTGCGTTACCAACTTTAATGTACTCCACAAGCGGAACAGGTCGAAAATCTGTCTGGTAAAGTGATGCCTGAAAGATATTAATTTTTTTCAATAATAAGCTAAGAGTAACCAAACATTAAATAGATATCAAGCATTAAGCCACTTAACAAGGTATATCTCCATGTGAAAACAAGATAGTCTAAAAATGCATGAAAGCAAATTTATGCATCGCATGGTTCCCAGTTTCCTTGGTTCTCCAATTGAGAGAAATGCCTAATGGATAGGGAGTGGTTAACCCCTTTATTTTCTTCCGCTCTCCTCTCCCCTTTTACTTTCTATCATCTCTTATCTCTTACTTTCAGACATTGATTTTTTGCAGTTTCTTTTTTGAAGCCCCTTCCATATCTTTTTTTGAGGTGTAAATATTGTTTCCTTGATTCTTGCTCAAGTTTGCAGTTGTGCCTCGGCAGCAACAGTCAATAGCTATTAGCAGTTAGTAACTTGATGTTCCGTTCAAGATTCAGAGCCTGCTTGTTATATTATTACCATGACTACTGCTCTAGATATATGGGATTAGCAAAGAATAGACGGCACGCTTGATTTGATTATACTTGCGGAAGGCATCTTGGGAGAGAACCTACTCTTGAAAGTAGATCATTTCTACTTCTTTGTTATTTTATCAATAAAATTGTTGCCGAGTTCCATCATATATATGTCCACCATGTAAATAAGTTGGAGCAAAATCCCTTTTATAGTTGTTGTCTGTACATGTACCAAGTTCACCTTCACATCACTCTTTTAGTAATATACAATCCTGATACAAGAATGTGATGAATAGCAAATGAAGCAAAAAATAGACAATCCATTATCCTCTCTACTTCCTATTTATAGGAGGTTCTTATAACCATAATTTTACATAATGAGAAGCATATTACAACTTTGAAGGAAGTGTATCCGTATTAACTAAATGTTTTTTACAACTTACTTGAAGCCAATCAGCAACTGCACCAACATTGGGCAAGGTTGCACTCATCCCAACAATTTGGAGACCCTGAGTGGGGTCGGTTTTCCCACTGCTAGTCCCAGAACTTTCTCCGCTAGAAAATTCTACACCGCCTTCTCCAGCTCCATACCGAAGCTTTGTTAACATAAGTTCCAAGAGATAGCCCCTGTGCTGATCTCCAACCTGGCAAACAAGAAGTAATTCAAGGAATGATAAAAGGATGTACAGATTGCATCATTCAAAGATACCAAATTCATATTACCATGTGAAGTTCGTCAATTACTATGATCCCAACTTCTTGCAAACGCCCCTCTTCTAGCAATCTATTGAGTAGAGAGTTTGCCTTCTCGATTGTGCAAACAGCTACAGAGGTATCTTTAGGAAGCGTTCCACCACCTTGGCTTCCATAATAACTGCGAACATGCTTGTCAAGTGGTTCCAGTAGGGCTTCAAGATGTTCAGCCTGCATCACTTACGAAACAATAATGAAGCTTAAGGACATAGACAGAACTCTCAACAAGTAGATGCAGAAGTAAGGCAATAGTCGCACCTTCTCCGCACAAATTGATACATAGGGAAGAACAAGAAGTGCCATTTTTCTTGTTGATAATACTCGACGCAACATCAAAATTTCTGCAACAAAACTTTTCCCAGCACTATGGGAGGAAAGGACAAATGATTGTGAGAAAGTAATTAACTAGAAAGATTTAGCACAAATACAACGATAAATGGAGAAGAAATACAAAAAGTTTGGAATTGCCAGCACAAAAGGTTGGTGGCTTAACTAGAAAAGATTTAACACTGCCTATTTGATGTTCAAATATTGCAAGACAAATGAGCAATATAAAATGGGGTTGGACTCAATCATCTAGAAAACCCAATTGCCATATCTGGTGTGACTTTCCTCTCATAACGGCAGTACCTTGTAGATGCACAATACACAAGGTTCCTTCTTTGTAACACCCCTTCTACCTGAAGGCAATCCACCTGGAAAATAAAAAGTGAATTTGACAGTGAACTTTAAAGTAAAGAAACTAGAAATCAAATAACATTGAACTTCATAAAATTTTCTGAACATATGACACTAGGTGATTCAGGTTCTCCTAAAGCAACAGAGACAATCACCTTGTTATACTCCTTCATAGAGTAATATCATAAGCAGAACAGGATGGTCAAAAGGACTAGAAAAGTACCTGCCAAGGATACAGCTTTGATATTCCCCGTCTTTTATAAATGTTGCATAGCTCAGAAGGGAGCCAATTGCTAATGTCTAAACGGTCATTGGGAAGCAAGGAACTTGATGGAGTACTTTCTACACTGTGAGGACAATTCATGTTAGAACCTTTGATGTCCGTACCTGGTGTATTAGATGTTCTATTATCATTAGGTTGATTCAATACATCCACTCTCCTTTTGGTAATTACACAACTCGAAGATGTCTCTTGCAAATTAGACAAAGGTTGGACTTGGTTGCAAGGGGTGCTCATATGCATGGTTGTTGGATTGTCACCGGTTATAGGACACTCAACAAGCCTGTCCATATTATTTACAATGCGATGGCATGGAGAATCCACGTCCTTATTTTTGTCCTCGAAAGAAAAATCAAAATGCTTCACAGGTAAAGGGGACACTTCTTTTTCCATAGAAATACCATTCTTCCCTGTAGATGTCATGGAAGCATCCACTCCACCTCTGAAATCTCTCTTGGCACCTTTGGATTCTTCAACAACCTGTGCGGGAAGATCTTTATTGCGGTACGCCATACCATCGACCACCTGGATCGCCTCTTTCCAGAATGTATCTCCTGGTGAAAACATGGAGCTTCCATGCATTGACTGAGGAGTTTTTTCAGTTCCAACTTTATCTGAGGCGATCCCCGGTGTATCGCATAATATCTGATCAACAGCTTCCGTGGATGTTTTATTGCATTTTCTCAAGCCTAATTGAAGCTCTGGATTGTTACCCATACTAGTCTGCAAGACAAACAATCCATGTTATCCAAACAGAACATAGTGAATCTTCATATCGACTGTTATGACAAGGTCTACCTCTTTGGAGTTGTCAATCCGCACTTGATCGGATGGATTCTCGATATAGACAACTGCTTCACCCTCATGGGACTGGTATCCAACACTACTTAAATGCCTCTTCTTAACCAAATTTCCATCCAAATCTAGAACAGATGGACTACCCTGCCTTTTATTTGTGTTAACTTTTGTAGTTGGAAGTTCACTGCATCAGTATAAGAATATTAAGATGTAAAGACTCTTTGGAGAACCAACTTGTGAGAGCATATATATAATAGATCATCGACAGACTAACTACTTACAGGTATGAAACCATTTTTATATGACTAGCAACATTTAAAGAGTGGCTACCCCAAATATAACTTACTTACCTACAATAAAATGACAAAAAATTAGCCGCAAACTGTTGTAGTTCAGGATTTTCCACGCCAAGCATGGAATCAGAAGAGTTACATTGAAGGTCTCCAGCTATAGGTTCTACCAAATTACACGGATTCGGTTTCTCCCCTTGTGATCTATGAACATGCCCTTGGTCAGATGATATAATTTCGACATTTTCATTTCTTGAAGACGACTCAATCTCCGATGTCAAGTTTCTTCTCACTTGATCTTGCCTATCAGATGACCCACGAGCTGTGAGTAAAGTACTAAGAGGATGATTTTCATTTTGTGAAGACACTAAATAGCTGGACAAAGAACCCTTGGCACTAGGAGATGCTTCAAGGGCAAGCTTTGCATCTTGTTCAACAATCCCCGACTTTGAAAGGAGTGATACAAGCTTATTCTTCTTCTTTGAAGAAAAGAACTGCACATAGTAATAAGGTCAGAAACATATGTCAAGTGGATGTTCAGCATTAGAAATAAAAGTGACATAATTTGAAATTAAAAGGCAGACAACTCATATAAGATGGTTCTCAAACGTATACAGATCCCACTATATATATAACTAAAAAAGATTATGCATGAATAGAACGTGTAAGAGTGTTATGTTTCTTGTATTGATAGGTTTATGCATATATAGAAGGACACTGAAAGAAGAAGAAGAAGAAGAAAAGGGTCCGCTCAAATGAATTACTTACCCAATGGAACTTGATACCCAAATAATAGAATTTTTTACTCACATAAGATAGTGTGACACCCAACCTTCCTAGAGGTCAAGGGTTCCAACCTCACCAAAAGTGAGGAGCGTGTGTTAATTTCATTTGTCGAATATGAATATCATATACACTTTTAAAAAATGGTATGACACTGTGATCAAAGTTCATATAAAAATATATAATGCCCAGCAACTTGATTCGTACGAAGTTCTGGTTTTAACATTGCATATTCGTCAAAATGTAATTAGAAATGACAGTCAATGACACCCCATCAAGTAACAATTTCCCAACAGCAATAGTATGGAAGTGTAAAAATATATGATCCTTATAACAAACTGTGTATTTTTCATGAAGCCAAGCATCTATAAATTGAATATCAAACTTCCCAAGTTCTTGGGGTTTGGAAATGAGAAATAACAATTATGTAGAAAACCAATTTTTCTTTTACTTTTTATGAACTAATAGAAACTACAAGTGCTTATACATACCACAGCCATGAAGTGCAGCATTCCCCTGTTGGTAAAGCACACCATGCTTCAGGTTATTAAGTTTTTATAAAACAGGAAAGAACCATGATGCATAGACGGACCCAACTGCTGATATGAACTGGTGTGCTTCTTTTTGGAAATTCATAGTGTGTTGCAGGGATGGTTTCAAATAAATAAGATCATCATACCATGCTTAAACTGGTTCAACTTTCACAGGTGAAAGTTGAATACTTCATAATCAGATGAAAACAAGTGTTCATCGTTGACATTATCAAGATGGGTGAAACAGATTTAATCTCCTACAGAACTATTAATCTTTTTGCTTTTAAAAATTAAAAGAATCCTAAAGCTCCGTTCTTAAGAATACCTAATTGCTGCGGATACTAATTATCATCAGTGTGTTTGACTACCATAGAATACTTAATAAAGAAGATGATGTTAGAGAACGATTAAGACAAACCTGATCAACACGGGAGCGTGAGGAACCACCTGACGCCATTTTTACAGGATCTTTTAGAGCATTTCAGGCGATTGAGCCCTAATTCATTCCAACAGTTAAATAGGACTCATTTGAATCTCAAATGAAGACCGCCAATTCTTACAAATTACAACAGGAGCATTTGAAAGAAAGAAAAAAAACCAATATGAACTTTCTCATTTAAAAATGGAAATGAATAAAAAAAATTGATAGCAATTAAAAATACTTATAAAATTACACATTTATCTATCAAGTATGATTTATTATAAAATAAATATATTTATATTTATAAAAATGACATGTTTTATTAGGCATGGCAATAGGGTGAGGATGGGGCGGGTTTTGTAATCTTCGGCCCCGGTCCCCGATGGGTATAGGGGTTAACATCACGTCCCTTGGTTAAACCCCTGAAAAATATTTGTTAGTTTGAGTCTATCGGAAATTCCCCACCCACCCGGTTCCAGGACCCGACCCCGGTTTGAGTCTACCATGAATTCTCGTCCCATGACTCATTTTAGTGGGGAATCCCTGCCCCCGTTCGAGTCGGATGAGTCGGGTTCCACCAAGACAGGGAAAATCACCATCCTAATATTTTATTTTATTTTTCTCTCGTTCAATAAACATTAAAATTTATTTTCTTTCTATATTTTTTTCTTCCATTTCCATCGAGAACACAAACCTTAAATCAGTTTTACATCTTCTAAACTTTACGTGATTCAAATCGTTGACACCCCATGACATCACACTTCCTTGCCCACCCAATCATCGTTCTTTCTTCCTCATTGTCATTGTCATTTCTTTCGTTTGATCTTTTTTTATTTTCTTTCGATTCTCTCTCTTATCCAACAATATGGTGGAGGATGTATAGACAGGTCGAAAAAGATGGAGAACTGGAAAACGAAACAAAAAATAGAGCTGGGAAAGATCGCAGATGCCAAGAACGACGATGGACGGTGATGAAGAGCATATGATGATGGGGTGGCAAGGGCAAGCGATGGCATTGGGTTATGGGTGCAAACGGTTAAATAACCTAAGGTTTGGGAAGGGTAAAGTTGATTTAGTTTTTTTCCCTTTAAATCTTCATAGTCGATTACATGTAGCTTTTTTAGGTTAAAAGAATGTATTAATAGAAAAAAATTCAATTAATTAATCATTCAAAATGAGAAAGTTCAATATTTTTTATACAAAAAGAAAATTAAATATCTAATCATTCAACTGAGAAATTTCATTGAATTAAACAAATTAAACTTAAAAATAATTAATCTTTAGTTTGATATCAATATTGATATTTTTCTTCTCATGCGGTAATGGTGCTAGACTGATCTCAACCTTATGCAACAGCTCGAAACAGAAGCCCATGCGACCTTGGTTGCGGCCTTAGTCGCGAGAAGGGCATTATCGCCAGAAAACTCGATTTCTTCGCCACTTTGACTTCCATGCATCCCATGATGATTTCTTAACCAACCCTCGAAGCTTATAGATCACTTTAAAGCCACATGACCATAAATAGGATTCTGATGAAGGCCCTTATAATTAAGTTAATGATTGGATAAGCTATTTGCAACGTATCACCAGATTTAATGGCTTAAAAGTTTTAACGAGCCCATACATCCTTTTTAAATAAGCTAATTTTCATCAAGATTGTTGTTAAAAAAACACCCAACAAGATTTCTTGTAAATTGACATATGAACTTGTTTTTCTGGTTTGAATTAAGAAAGTGTTTTTCTGTCCTTATGAATTGATACTTGGTATTTTATCATTTTATTACATGTTTAAGATGATAGTGGGTTGACAAGTGTATAATTGCTCGAGTCTCAATTTGCTAATAATTTGCGAGATTTATTTCATACAAATCTCGCAATAAATTGCTAGGTAAGCAAAACATTAAGTTGATTAAAACAAAAGATATACATGCCATGAAAAAACCTTAACCAATATCCCATTCATTTGACACAACACTTGTTTGTAGCATATTTGACAACAGGTCAGACAATAAAGTGTCAAGCTAGTTCTTAAGTGAATCAAACTCTCTTCAAAACTAGCGTCAGGCTCTGGAAGCTTAATTTATGGGCTTAGGCTAGTTTCAGCACTAGTCTAAAGTAGCAGTGAAACTAGCGGGATCCTGACAATAATAGCCCTAAATTATTTTGAAAATACATTTTAACCCTAAATTTTATATATTTCTAAAAATAACCCCACATTACTCTTTATGCACCAAGTCGTGCGTATAGGGACCAATTTACAAAAAAAAAAAAAAAATGACTTTGATTTGACCCTTACTGTAACAACCCTCACATCCCAAATACATATAATTCACATCATCATTTTCATAATACTAAAATAGTATTATTACAAAACATGAACTAATGAAATGTATCTTTAATACATAAAYATAACAAGCTAATATCAAATATTAGACTTTTCYCTTGCCTTTATCTTTCAGAGCACGCTGTCCTGCAAAACAGGTTAATCCAACATTTGAACGTTAGACCAAACGGTCTAGTGAGTGTATAATCTCATTCAACAATATACATTCCAAACAATCAGTTTAGAATCAAACMTGTTCTGAAACATAAATATATTTATGTTTCTCGCGGATTATACCGYCATCTCATTCTCATATCTCTTTCACACTCACGATTATACCGCCCACTATATCACTCTCGCGGTTACACCGCCATCTTACACGCAGTAAACACTGCTCAATCACTCTCGCGGTTACACCGCCATCTCACACGTAGTAAACACTGCTCAATCACTCTCGCGGTTACACCGCCATCTCACACGCAGTAAACATTGCTCATAACACTCTCGCGGTTACACCGCCATCTC